ATGTCCATCATATATATTGACAAATGTCAATCGTAAAAATATTAAAACTGTTCAGGATTCCCGATCGCTACGTCGTATCTTATTACACCAGTCATGCTCATCCTACTCTGTTGGAGCTCTTCTTCCCTATCGTGTGTATTATGTTTCTGTTGCAGACCCAACAGCATAACGCACGCAGTCGCGAGAACAAGACGCAACAGAAACACAATACACACGATAGGGAAGAAGAGCTCCAACAGAGTAGGATGAGCATGACTGGTGTAATAAGATACGACGTAGCGATCGGGAATCCTGAACAGTTTTAATATTTTTACGATTGACATTTGTCAATATATATGATGGACATATATTGTAGTTATTTTAAAGTGAAGACAAGGCATACAATGTACTAGTTTGACGTGAATTGAGTAGCACCTGAAGATGGCATTTTTATGCCGAAACATGTAGTGTGAGTGAGAGAAGAAGATAGATAAGTGTACGCACTGCAAGACGGATTAAACAAATCATGAAATTATAAAACAAGCCTTCATTTTTGATGTGACAGATTAGACAAAGAAACCTTGGTCATGTATTCAGATAAATGTGGCACGTGTGAGTAATTCAGACTTCTCAGCTCTTTCTTTATTCCTCCCTTTTACCCGCATCTTTCTTCCATCTTTATATTTATTCATTTCTTCTTCTTTGTACTTGTTTTGATAAATCTTTAAATTGGGCTTTTCTGATCTCAAGATAATGGCATGGAAGGCATGATTTGAAAGTGATCTGAGATAAGCCATGGAAGCATAGAATGCATGGAGACTAAGATATTTAATCCGCTGATATATTGGGTTTCTGGACTTTATCCATTGTCCTGGTTTTTAAGATAACAAATAAAAACACGACGTTTCGGAAACTGGATCTGTTTCCATCCTCAGGTGAAGGAAAAGGGAAACACCTATTCTGTTGGGTCCATTAGAAAGAGCTAGCCTCAATCACTGGACAAACCAATGTCACAAAACATGTCATGTTCACCTGAGGACGGAAACAGATTCAGTTTCCGAAACGTCGTGATTTTGTTATCTTAAAAACCAGGACGATGGACAAAGTCCAGAAACCCAATATATCAGCGTGTTATACACCATCGTCAGAATCCTATAGTAACTACTTAAGATATTTAGTATTGATACTTTCTTGATATATTCTTTCTCTCTGTCATTATGTCTTCCTGGTTTATATGGTTCTTTAATGGGCTCATATAACTTTTATTTTGTGTGCTGTATACAACAGATCCCTAGGAGCCCAACATTAATTTTTGAATTTTTCATAACAGATATACTTGTAAATAGGAAAATGTTATGTGAATGTGTTAATGTATTAACCGTCACATAGCATGGTTCCCATCTGCCTGTGCTGAGCTCATTGCAGCAGTACATTCTGCAGTATTTATTTTTTAAACTAGTTTCCATGCAGTCTGTTTCACAGATTTTTTCTTTTCAAATTTGCATTGGTCATCTTGCAACATATCTAGTAGTGTTTCAGATAGTGATATTTTGTGAAACATTCCTTTTTGCAGAAAAACCTAGTCTCCTATCAGCCATATTAGGCAGAAAGTTATTTGTCATGATATTTAAAATGTCAGCTTTCTGCAGAGTTATCGTCTACTGACATCTGTTGAAAAGCAGTTTGTAACTGCAAGCTTTTATATCTGGCATATAGCAGACATCAGTTTGCTGCATATATGCTGCCTCGTGCAGGACTACACAAGTAGGGAACTGCCTTCCCACCATGAAAATGTTAAAAGAGTACCTTGCCACTACATTTAACTTAATGAAAATACATAGAGATTTACAGATGTTTCGTAATGAATGTATGGGATATTTATTTCATGGTGTAGGGGCGTCACTCCTGAGCCTTGTCCAGTGCCCCGCAAATCATTGCAGACAAACAGCAGTGACAAGTTTGGGTCAGTATCATCATTGTCAAGCCTCAGTTCAGCTGGTGGAACATCGAACAGAAAGAAAAAGAAGCCTGCACCAGCTCCACCAAGGGCTCAGGACGTGTTTTCAGAAACAATAACTGCCCCATCTGATAACTCATCCAGGGCCTCATCCCCATGTCCCAGCTCGGTGAGTTAGCAGCCTTGGTATGCAATGGAATAATTTACCTATTTACTTGCTTGCTTATTTATCTACTTAGCTGGCTGGCCTTCATGAATTTGGCCACAATTCAGGTTGTTCTGCTTCTCTTTATTTGGCCAAGTGGTTTTCTCTCTGGCACCAATCCTTGCTGTGTAGTGTATAATATTCCTGTTTCATATGTTGAGGTTCAGGTTGAAATCTCAGGCTGGAGACTGGCTGTCCTGACAGAGGATTCTTCCAGATTGATGACATGTAATTCCCTACATTTAGCCATGGTGACTTCCCAGTTCATCATTATTATTATTATTATTATTATCATCATCATCATCATCTTGTCATTTGATGGCATTTAATCTGTGCAGTTGATAGTATATGTAAACTAGGAATTTGTGAATGCATTATTGTCTTTGTGCCTCTGACATTTCTTCTTCATGATGTAATTCCAGGAATTCTGCTGCATATCCTCTCTAGGTTTTTGTTCCATTCTCTTATATAGCCATTTAAATTAAATGTTTTTCATGTATCCTCATCTTCAAGGAATAGAGTGACTGGTCTTTTACATCCCAGTTAACTTCTCCTTTGGGCAGACTCCCTTCTTATAGGCGTTTTATATCATGTTCACATAATTTATTTGTCACCTGAAATTCTGTATGTAATATTATTCATTCATAATTCTTTTCTGATATCCTGACCTCTCTTTTTAAACATTACTTTTCAAGTTCTTTTTTAATGTCCCATTTATTATCTGCAATGTTTGAAGCTTTATCTCCCAGCTTACCATACCCTGGCCTTAAATTGTACATCTGGCTGACCCAGTAAAATATAAGCTAGTTGCCATGTTTTTGCTGTGTATTGCACTGCAGGAAACATAGCAAAATAAACCATTTCTCTTGCATACCTATTTGGTAGGACGTTTTCTGGACCAGTCCACGAACTTATTGACTACAGTATACATAAATCACAATACATTGCGAGAACAAACTATTAGAATTTTCAGTGTACAGAAAACCTACTCAGGCTGCTGTTATAATACCTAATAGTTCATGTCATCCATATGAACATAAACTGTTGAGTGTTAAATATCTACTAAATCTGTTAAGCACATATCCAGTAATAAATAAATCAAAACAAACAGAAAAAATAAGCGCTATAGAACATACTACAGGAAGACGAATACAATACAAACCTACTTGAGACAAGACATACACGAAGATCCAAAACACCACAAAACAAAATGGACCACATTTATTTATTGCGGAGAAGAAGTAAGACAAATAACCAAGCTCTTTCAAAATATGCAACTTAGCGTAGCCTTTCCACACAAAACACAACTTCATGAACAAGCAGATAAATATAACAGTAGCGGCATATATCAGATGAAATGCCTGGATTGCCCACTGAAATATAATGGTCATACTGGGAGTATGTTCAGCGTAAGATATAGAGAACATATTCATGCCATCAGGACTAATATTGTAATAGTAATTCCAGCTATTCAAATCATATATTAGCCAAGAGACATGCATATGGTACAATAAAAGATACTATGGATATCATAACAACAGGAAGGAAGGGCAGACATTTAAATACATTAGAAAAATATAACATTTACAAAATTAGTGGGAACAACTTACACATGAAAGATATACACATCAAAGCACATAATTCTATATTCCAAACAGTACGTGAGCTTTACAATAGGTAGTAGTACACTCGCTACTAGAAAGATATTTAAGCGAGAACGGTCACACCAGAATCAGTAAAAGGAACACAAAGCAACACTAGATACACACAACTAAGAGAGTGGCACACCCAACTGAGCATTTAAGTGCAAAAAATACAACATCTGCATATGCGGAGGTAGCATAACCTAAAACATTCATAAAGAATTAAATTGATAACATGTATTATACATTACAAGAAAACAACCGCATTATGTAAGATTGGAAGAAAAATCATCCTATAAAATCATCCTGCAACATCAGAATTAAAAATAATAATAATAAGAACAATGATGTGCCTTAATGAATACTATTTGACCAAGTGCACAGTGCAGTAGACTCCTTTAAAAAAATGTGGCTGAAACGCGTAGCATAACGCTGAATGTACATATAATTTAGTAATTTTAATGGCATTTTAAATATTTAATGAACATTTAGTGAACTAAGTATGAATTAGTATTAATTTAATATTGTTGCATTAGAGATGGAAAACGAGACTATAAGTTCAGAACATTCAGTAGTGTGATGTCCCACATCGTGCCACTTGCATTCTATTGTCCTCTTTTTTTTTTATTGCTCCTGCAGAATAGGTGCAGAAGTACATTCTGGAGGATCAGACTGACCATTGATTGCTGAAGTTTACCTCAAGCCAAGTAGCTTGTTTTCTGCAGTACAAATGATATGTCCAGATTCAACATGAGCAGTGTAAACTCTCAGCCTGTATGTTCTATGAGAGGAAGTTGGATTGGGGATCACATGAAGTCTAGAGGAGGAAACTGTTTGTAATTGTCAAATCTGACAGGTGAAGAAGGACTTTTTGTTCACTTCCATGTCTGGTGTTATATTAAATAACTGTTGACCATTCTGCCACCCGTGTCAGCTTTGTCAGCTTGTGGACCAATTTGTCAGTCATAGTCCTGTATAATTCTTGAGATTTTGCATTTCCATGGTAATTACAGAATTACCATTTGGTGGCGGATTATGTGTGTTGTACTTTATGTTTATCTCTCCAGACCCATGCAGTGAAGTTATCTTTTGTCCTTGACTGAATATCACCTCAATTCAGTAGTTTGGCAGTAACAGGTACTGAGACATTCACTTTCTCTTATGCTTAACTGTCATAAAACTACTGATTTTCTTTTATGTCAGATCACTGAATAAGTCAGGCAAGAAAAAAAGTTGTCCTTATGTAGCTTTTGTCCATGTCCTTCCACCTTTCTTGTCAAGTGTTATATAGTAGCTTGTGTTGTCCTCGTATATGTGGCTGCACATGGCCTAGGATTATACACAGAGTTCAGATTGATAATTGAATTTATTGGATACTAGTTGCTCTACATTCTGAAAACAACTATGGCACTTTTCATGTCTTTTCAGTTTACTATGTCTTCATAGCTTGGCTTTGACAACATGGACTCCATAATGTTTCTGTAACCAACAGCTCTGGCTTTGGTTTGGTTTGGGTAAATTGCAGCTGGCCCTCACCAGAATAGACATTGGTTCTGGGTCCTGTGAGACTCATGACCATATTATTCTATTTCACGACTTTGGGAGTCATGCAGCTGCCTTGACATTTTCAGTCTGTCAAATAAATTGTTGATAGCCCTTGCCCGCACAGTCATTCTTGGTTTCTAGTACTGCTGGACATATGACCATATTTTACTGTCTCATGACTCAGGGAGTCATACAGTTTTGACATCTTCATGTCATGCTGACTTTCTTTATATAGTGTTGTTATGGTTCCTCCAACAATTCCTCTGCTTTCTTGCCTGTATTCATTGTCATGGAAACATGTAACATTTTTATTTTACACATCCTGTTATGTAGTTGTTTGTGATATTAAACTTCTAATATCACACTACAACATTTTGATTATTGCATAATAAAATGGTTGAGATCAAGTGAAAATCATAAGTCATTCAGTTTTTTATATTAATCACACTATGTGTTTTGGTCTCTTTTGACTGTCATCAGGTTCATATGAATAAAAACAATAAATATTTTAATGTGTATAGCTATGTAGGCAATGGCGCTATAAAGAACTCGTCGCATAAGCGCACTCAACAATAGGGCGAATGTATAGCTTGTTGCTAGGTAACAGCCAGCATGCCAATGGACTGGCAAGGTAGCTATCACATGACTGGCTTTCTGTGGGATCCGTGCCACGACCATTGTTACGCAATGGTTCAGTAAACACGTGTCAGCAATAAAGGCTGTGTTTTCTGTGTGGTTGGTGCAGAGGCTATGTAACGACAGTTACAGACATAACAAGTTTCAGTTTTTAAGTCCAGTTCTATATTCTGAGTTCTTGGTGGAACATGGTCACGGAAAGTTCGTCGTGTCAAGACTTAGTGTGTGATTAGGCTTTAATCAAGTGTAATGTCTGGAGTGATTTGAAGCACTAGTTCTTGTGTTCTTAATTGCATTATCAGGAGAGGACTAGTGTGTGTGTAACAGTGAATTATAAAGTGGGGGAACAGCAATAGCGAGAGAGATTGTAACCAAGGTGCTAATAAACCAAGGTGCTAATAAATCCAATCATCTGAACAGAACCCATCATTCTTGTCATACATACCAGGCAACGTGTGACAGTATATTATGTTTATGCAGAATTATGATGAAAATGGATCCATTTTCAGTGTCATAAATTAAGAGTTGTGTACATGTTTAGGGATGAATATATGAAAATACATTTGCAATTTTATAGAATTATTAAAGTTTTATAAACTGTGTATGCAGTAATAAAATGTAGATGGTGGTCGTAATGTGTGTTGTGTTTGATTGTAGGTTTTAGTTTAAATTGTATGTATATTTGTTATAAATGGTACGATGTCGATATAATTGTGTATCTTTGTGTTCTGATTTCTTGCCCATGTTTTATCTGTAATGTAAAAGCATAGTTATGAGTTGTTTTTAATTTGTTACATGTACTAAGGTATAATTGTAAATATGAAGGAGAGTGAGTAAATGGGTCACAAATGGAAGTAAAACAGCTGTAATGGACATAATAGGTTTTCTATATGTATCACTAGGTAGCAGCACAGTCCAGCTTGATGACAGTCTAGGTAGCAAATGCGCATATGCATATGCATGTTCAGAGGAGTATCATACTGATCATACCTAAGAGCAGCATGCTGTTTTGCGATAGACAGTATAACATCTGTGCTAGGGTGTTTCCGTGGTTTAGCATATATCATATAGCTTGATCATTTGAAGTTGTGGGAAGTGGGTGCCCAGAGAATTGAAGGTTTCAGAAAAAATTAATGAAATGGGTCCACCCGTGCAACATCCTTCAGATGAAGGAGAAGATATACTTAACAGGATTGTTACTGGGGATGAATCGTGGGCGCATCACTACCAACCCGAATCAAAGCGTGTTTCAATGCAATGGAAACATCCCAGTTCATCTTCAGCCAGTAAGCTCCAAGTTTAAAGTTACGCCATCAGCTGCAGAGGTTATGATTACCATGTTTTTTAATTCTCATTGAGTACTGTTAGCCCAATTTCAAAAGCTCACAGAAATGTGAATTCTGCATCGTACTGTGAAGTTCTGTTGAAGCTTCAGGATGTAATTTGCAGAAAGCTTACAGACCATATGCAAGAGAGATACTGTTTCATCATGATAATGCCAGAGCCCATGGGAGCCTCGACATTTCAGAACCCTTTGGGCCTTCACGGCCTGTTACAGGTATAGCTTTGCCTAATAATATTTAACTGTGTTCATTCATATTCTATGTCTCCCTCCCCAGACTTACAGAAAATAACTTCAGTCCAATTTAAGAATATTAACTTGCTCACGTATTCAGCTTCAAAATGTTAAATTAAAGTGGTTTTGTTGAATTTATATTTCATGAAAATATTTTTTGACAATGGGTTTTTCTAAATTATCATGTAATTTCTCTTTGGACTGGTGTTATCAGCTGTTTATTGGTGCAGATGTAAGTACTTACAATTCATTAAGAGAACTCTAAAATCTTTGAATTGCAGAGATATTCACCTTCTCCAAAAGCTACTCCTCACCATCGTAAGTCTCGTCCAGCCCCTCTTCCACCTGCAGCAACACAAGGGAGTACTGTACTCTCATTTGCTGAGGCTAAACTTGTGGTTGCAAAGCTAGAAGATTCACCATCTAATTCTTTGCAGTGGGAACGTGAAAAGAATAAAAAGGATGTGACAAATCGCAACCGACAGAGTCAAATTTCGGACACATTTAGTTTTGGTAAGTGTAGTGGTAATGGCAGAGTTGTCTCTGTGCTTAAGGTGCATAGGAGAAATGCAGGTATAAATGTCTGCTTTCTCGGTTATGACAGTAGAAGGTAGTGATGGGTATATTCATGCTGCAAATGAGCCTCGTTAAAGAACTCCTAGCAGTCCTAATGTCCATTCTTTTGTTAGGGTGCTCGTTGGGCCCATGGGGCTATTCTTAACATACTAGGCAGTAGTGAGAAACTGAGTTCCTTATAATACATTACTTTATGTTTTATGATATGCTAAGCTACCTAAATTTCATGCTACAGGATTTTCCCCATGCTATTAATCCTTTAGCTGTGAAAATTCATAACATATTCATTAATGCCCACATTGATTCTTTCATTGTTCATTTAAATGCACTTCACATCTTCACAACTTATGTCTCTAATATACAGTTTTATATTACCTTTTGTTATTATTTGATAGTTCTCCAAAGGTGTCTCTTCCCTTGACATTTTATAGCCAGAACTTCATATATATTTCTTGTTCTGTCCACATTAGTTGTGTCATCATTTTTGATGTCACAACTTATCTTATTTAATCTTATTATATCAGGGCTCTGGAAATACAATTTAAACATGCCATCTATTTTAATTTGTGTATGGTCTCATGTCTTGGATCTGTATTTATGAGAAAGATTTTTAGTGAAATTTGACATTGGATGTTAAGTTGAATCAACAAAAGTAATATATTATTTAATTTATTTTTACACATTGCATGTGATGAAAATTACTTATTTTAATGTTAATACATTTAAACCAAGGTCACTCTTCATTAACTTTCCTGTGGCAAATGCGCAACCATCTGCAGCACATTTCTGAGACTCTGTTCTATGTGGTGTAATGAAACAGATCATGCAGTAGTTAATTTTCTTGGGTAGGTCCCATGTCACCAAGTGAACAGCAGTTGGTCTTTGGGCCCAACAAGAGTACGTATGGTCAGTGGAAGAGGAAAAAAGGGCCAGCACCACCACGGCCCGTACCGCAGCGCAGACAGATAAAGGCCATTCCAATGAAGGAAGTGAAGAGAGAGTTAGAGGATATTGAGGTGCAGCAGCAGGAGTTGGAGCGACAGGGAGTGACACTGGAGAAAACCATTCGTGATAAATTTGATCAGGCTCCAAACAGTAATGATGGTGAGCATGGATGCCAGCAGGGGGAAAAAATGACAAGTTCAATCAGGCCCCAGATATTAACAGTGATGAACATTAGTGTTTGAATTGTTGAAACATCTGGTTACATTGAGTTTTACATGTATCACACTTTCTTATACAGCACTACAAGCACCATCCAAAGCACTAGCACTTTAATCTGTACCACAGAAGGTACCAATGATACCACTTTTGTTACCATCCAATTATTGTAACAATCCCAATACCTTCCTTACAGAGGAAGTAGTGGTGAAGGCTAGGGCCCGAACCCATACAAAATCGGCAATCTTCTCAGGGTTGTTTCTCCAAAATGAACATCTTTTCTCCTTGCCAGTTTTTTCTAATGTGCATCATTTGGAAGAAAGGGGGTAGGGTCCATTGCTGTTGCAGTTCCACTGTTGTCATGATCCCAGGCTTTTCTAATGGAACAAGTAATGGTGACTTGAATTAGCCTGAACTCAAAATCATGTTCATATACTAGCAAAGTTAACAAATTTTCTACGGTGAGCATCATTCATCTTTACCGATTTTTGTATGACACACTGGAAGAAACAGGATGACACAGATTGAAAGACAAACTTTGATGTTCCAAGAGCATGATACATACATATAAGAAACAAAAATTTATAATGAATCTAGTGGTGGCAGAATATACGTTGCAGTTTCCCCCCTATTCTAGATATGGAAGAAAATAGTTTTGCTTTTCATCTGTATTCAAGCAACAGCAGAACATTTTTCGGATTTTGTTCCATATCTTAATAACAATCCCATTGTTGTCCTGATCTTGCGTTCATGATCCAGATGCCTTTTCTATATAGAAAGTCATGGTGAAATCGGTTGGCTTGGACTCAGCTGCACGCTTTTAAGTGTTTGAACCCACCCCAGGGAGATCTACCATTACACCAAATTTGGTTGAAGTAGTTGCAGTGATGTATAAAGAACAAACAAGCAAACAAACAAATGGACAGACAACACACACTTATATATATATATATAAGTGTGTGTTGTGTATATATATATATACTCTTGCTGCATATTTTTATTTTGTTTCAGTTTATTCATTTTCTTGCCATTCTGTCTGTAAGCACTCACTTCTACTCACTTATTTTCATTCTTGATTTCAGATTCCAGTATGACTCCTGATGTCGAAGATTTAGTGTTGCAGCTGTTTGAATTGGTTAATGAAAAGAATGAATTGTTCCGCCGGCAGGCAGAACTCATGTACTTGTAAGTATGACTTTTTTCTACCCTAGTAATTCTAAAATATGGATATCTTGGAAATCTGCAAGTAAATTACTCTAGTGGCAAATTTTAGTATGAGTGTCAATCTAAAATAATGCGGTGAAATCCCAGTTTAATGTTCCTGCATTTACTGGAATCCCATGTTTTGTGAATATCTTTTCTGATCCCAATCAAAACCCAGTATAAGCAGTGTTCTGTGTTTCCATGTTTAATTAATTTAAATTTAGTAAATATTCTTATGCAAGAAATTGTTGACCTTCCATATCTCATGCCTTGATTTAATGTTACATTGTTGAAATGACAATTAATGTTCATGTTTTGGCACAACCATTATGCTTATTTAATAAGACATTAATTATTTTAGAAATCAGTTTGATATTATTAATTATGTAATTGCATTTATTTATGTAGAAACAGTTTCTTAACTCCTTATATAAAGATTTTATTTTATCTTAATTATATATGGTAATTCTTTTAAGATTAAGAAAAATTTCGTAATGTAATGTTGCATAACGCTGCTCACGGTAGCCGAGCGGTCTAAGGCATGTAATGTCTTCACTCGCCCGGAAGCCGGGAACGTGGGTCCGAATCCCACTCAGGGCATGGATGTTTGTGTGCGTTTTTCTATGTTTGTATACAGGTAGAGGCCTTGCGATGAGCTGATCACCCATCCAAGGAGTCCTACCATATGTTTAAGATCTAGAAAAACCGAAATGAATGGAAAAGTTCATGGAGGTAGGACTAGGCCCACTGGGGCTGTAGTGCCAAAGAAAAAAAAAAGTTGCATAACTCTCATTTAGTGAAAACCTCAGTTTACTGTAAGAAAATCCTTTTCCCTAGAGAATGTTTAAATTGGGATTTCAATGTAATTTTCTGTTGAAATTATAAACTAAGTGGTAATTGTGTCAAGTAATGCTATAAGATGGAATTGAGATTTACCCTTCTGGGTGGTTGAGACAAAATGTCTTTCACACAGTTTCTGTTTTTGTTTAGTGTGGATGAAATATTGGATAGTGTTTATAGAACTGTTTCTTCTATCAGTTTGATTGCTACTGAACTATGTGGTTAGGCTGTTAAATGTCACATACCAAAATCTCTGAAAAGAAACCCTGAAATTTTGTGCTTTTTCTGTTGCTTGCCTTGTTTCCATGACATGAAAGGCAGTATGTGAAGTGAACACGCAGTTGTGGGTATTAGTAACAGATATTAATCAGATATTTCTGATAGTGTGTAATTTTATTGTGCAAGAACAGTGCTTGCTTTAGAAGTAAAATTTCACAAGCATTTTAGTGACTTTTATTTTAAATGATTCCTCTTTAAACATTAATCTGTACTTAGATCTACTAACATAAATCAGAAAAGTTCCTCACATTTATTAGTAATTAGACTGCTAATTAGCTTGTTTTCTGTACCCCTAGACCAGTTTTATAGTGGCTGAATACATTCTTGTAAATGCCTAATTCTCGTACTCTTCATTCCCTATGACAGTTTCATAGATAATTTTTGAAGCTCTGACCTTGATGAAGCAGTTTATATTTTCGGGATTTGAGAACATTCCTGATAAATGTAGGTATCAAGATGTATTGTGAAAAGGTTATTACTGTTTCATTTCACATCTTTTCCAGTTCATCATTCACAGTCACCCTGTTGCCTGATGCTATATAAACTCATGAACTGATGTACTGTTAATATGCCAGGCATCACCTGCAAACTGATTTACTTGGTAAATATGCCAGGCATCACCAGCAAACTGATGTATTGTTGTTACATGTGCCAGGCGTCGCCAGCAGCGTTTGGAAGAGGAGCATGCAGATTTGGAATACCAGATTCGTTGCTTGATGGATGTGCCTGAACATACAAAAACAGATTCTGATAAAACTCGTGAGGAGGAGTTAATCCAGCGCCTAGTGGAGGTGGTTGAACGTCGTAATGAAATTGTTGAATGTCTTGAGATGGACAGGATACGTGAGGCAGAAGAGGATCGTAGCATACATTCACGGCTTGGGATGTTCTGTAAGTTACAGAGTAGTTTCTTCATGTACTTACAATATAATGTATAGTGCAACTTCAATTGTCTTATGACTATGGAAGAAGTAGCATGGATAATTAAATGTAACAGATAATCCAAAAATCTGGAAATAGCCACTATACCTGCTTGCATTTGGGGCATGCGGTAGTGTAGTGGTTGAGGCACTATGTTACAAGCTTGAAGGTTGCAGGTTCAAGTCCCGATGAGGTCATTGGATTTTTTTCAGTTGACCTAATCCTTGACCTGTTAAAACGGATCTTAGTGAGATAGAATGGGATGGTATGGATTGAATTTATCTGGCTCAGGATAGGGACCAGTGGAGGGCTCTTGTGAACACGGTAATGAACTTTCAGGTTCCATAAAATGGTGGGAAGTTCTTGAGTAGCTTCACAACTGGCATCTTCTCAAGAAGGACTCGGCTCCATGAGTGAGTGAGTGAGAGCGAGCTGCTGGTTACTAAATAATGATATGAATCTCTTTATAACAGAAGAAAACACTCCTTGTTTGGTGATAGTGGCTTGGCTCTAAAAGCAGTAGAATAGTAAAATGGAAGCTTACAGTGGAGTGAGAAGATACACATTCTACTGCAAATCATTGTGTACCGTCACTGATACATACATATTATAGGCAACACATCATTACCGGAAATTATAGTCAATAATTAAGGGGTTCTAAAAGTTACTTGGTTATTCCACAACATGGGTGATTGAGAGTGTTATACTTGTGTAGTTTACATTGTGATCTGAGTTGTTATGCCATGTAGCCTATTAGTTAGTTACCAACATTTTGAAGAAACCTGATGCCTCCTTATCTCTCCATCTTCTCCACCATGGTAACTTCAGGTCAAGTCAGTATAACATGCAAACTATATGACAGATCATTAACTCTTTGACTGGCGCGGGCAAGTTTTTGTGCCCGGACGATGCCAGCCATTCCCTGGCGTTGGCGTGTTTTAGCGCTTTGATACACTCTTCCCTTCTTTGCTGTCTTGGCACTCATCAACCAGAGACATATTTATGATAGTTTTTGTGCATGGTTCTAAAGAACCCTTGTTGACTTTGTGGGGGTGTATATTACTGTCAGAACCCTCCGAGAAGGAAAAGGTCAGAAAATATTTCACATTCATTCAGTTTCACCATGGCTTCTCGCAGCAAGTGTTGGAGTGTTCCTACAGACCTGCTCGAAAGTGTTGTGAACGAGATTTGTGCTGATGATGAAAGTGGTGATGAAATAATGATTCCTGAATTAGATGAAGTTGATAGTGACAATAATACAGGGATAGACAATGATCCACAAGACAGTAATCATGAACATTTAGCCACCACGAGTGCAGTGCCTGACACGCCCAGCTCATGGACATACGGAGACACTGTACCAACAATAGTTCCATTTACTAGTAGTTCCGGGATCAAAATTGATGTAACACATAAAATGCACCCCTTTTCATGGATTAAAATTTTTCTGGATGATGGCTTAGTAAATCACATCATAACTGAAACCAATCACTTCACCAGCACTTCAACACACGAGTTAGCTCCTCACTCTCGAGAACACAATTACAAATATGTCACACCAGATGAAATGTTGACATACTTAGGAATTGTGTTCATGACAGGAATTGACAGACGCCCCGAAATTGAAGAATATTGGTCCACTAGGCCTCTATTTCACACTCCATGGTATGGACAAAAGATGTCTTTGCGGCGGTTCCAACAGATCTCGAAATTTCTTCATTTTGCAGACAACGATGCATGACCAGCTGACTGTGAAGATCGCCTGTATAAAGTTAGGCCAATTATAGACTCATTAATGGGGAAATTTAGAAACACATATATCCCTGGAAAGGAAATTGCAATAGATAAAGGAATGATCGCTTGGAAATGACGTCTTATCTTCCGAGTATATGTGCCTGACAAACCTGATAAGTATGGTATAAAGACTTATTTTGTTTGTGAACCAACAAGTGGATATATTTGGAATTTTGAAATTTATTGCGGAAAATCAAGACCTATAAAGAAATTAGTTGTCGATCTGTTGGGGCTACAGCTTCTAGATAAAGGGTATCATCTCTACCAGGATAACTATTACAATAGTGTAAAATTGTGTGAGATGTTATTACAGAGAAATACCTATGTGTGTGGTACCTTCAGAATGGACAGAGGAGCTCCTAGAGAACTAAAGGATGACATAGAAAATTTGAAAAAAGGGAAATCTGTGTTTTCTATGAAGGGGCAGGTTCTCATACAGGTATAGAGAGATAAAAGAGATGTCAAACTTATCTCCACTCTTCACACAGCAAAAATCATGGAATCTGCCAAAACCAATTGCAAAGGAGAAAAAATATGCAGACCCGAGGTAATTGGGGACTACAGTAAACATATGAAAGGGGTTGACAGGGCTGATCAAATGTTGCATTACTATCCTTCTTCACGCAAAACTGTAAAGTGGACAAAGAAACTGGTGTTTTTCTTGTTGCAAATGGTAGCGTTGAATAGTTTCATTCTATTCAAAAAGAACACAACAAACGAAAAATACAAGAAGAGAAAATACAAATTCAAAGATTTTATATTGGACTGTGTAGAAAAAATGACAGAGCCAAACAAACAGTGTGGAGAGGGAGAAGAGTCAAGAAATGAAGTGGATGACGAATCTGTTGCTTCAGACTCAAGTGCAGTCACGCCTCCGCCCGCGACATTGGAAAGACCACCACTGAAGGACCCAGCAAATCATCTAGAGGGTGGCCTGAAAATACACAAAATGGTCCATGTTCCTCCCAGTAACAAGAAGAAGAATGGTGCCATGAGAAAGTGTCGTGTGTGTGCTAAGCACAAGATTAGAAAAGAAACAAGTGTCATGGTGCAAGCTGTGGTGTGGCTCTCTGCAAACTTTCATGTTTCAGTGTTTATCACACGAAGAAAAACTACTAAAAAGGTATGAAAAGACATTTTTTGCATAAAATGTTGTCTTTTTATTAGTTCCTGAAAATTTCGTTTTTAAAAACCAACTTTTGTTGAAGTTATTTAAAAAAAAAAAGTAAATGCATGCATTTTAGTGATTTAAAGCTTAAAGGGTCTGCCAGGACAGGGGTGGCATTTAAATACCTGCCAGTCAAAGAGTTAAACTTTTCAGTAATCATCTTGCAGTTTGTTTAGTAGGCCTACTACCAGGTGAAGCTCTTCCATGTGTAGAGAAACCTGCTGTTTTAATTCCATAATATTGAGGAAGTTGAAGCAAATTTGTCTCTAAAATTTCCTTTTCCTTTGTTCCTGTTTAGCTTATCGAGACATTATTGTCTCTGTCATGATGCATAGCTTGTCAACATTTTATATAGTCTTACAAATAAAGGATATTTTTCCCAGACTTTGTAGTACCAGTGATGTAACATTATCCTCAAGAATTTTGCTTTGCTTCCTCATTTTGCAGATGCTGTAAGTGAAAGTTATTATCAACTGTGTTTCTGTTTTTCAGCTAAAGGGAAGATTTCATGCCAAGAAGAAGTTACTTATTCAGATTCTTATTATGGAAAGATGAAGAAAAAGAAAAAAGACAAAGAGAAACATACTAAAAAGAAAACTTTGAAATCTGGGCTTGATGTGGACAAGGACATCGATGAGCGAGAAGAAGCAGTACCGAAACATGCCAAAGAGAAGAAGTCAAAGAGAAAATGGTTCTGAGCACCATACTGAAAGGTTTTTTCTGTGCTTGGGGCCAGTACACATATGTTAGTCCCAAACAGTTCCTTTGTCCAGAATAGTCCAGAATAACGTAACTTGTGCAGTGGTCATGAACGATAGCTTGAGAAGCATATGCAAGGAGATGACTGTGGTATACTTTAAAGCGCTAGCACAGCATTTCTAACATGTGGATGAAGAAAGTTACACAGTAAGGAGCTTCATAATATGTTCACTTCCCCTAATAATGTTAATGTGATTAAATCTAGGTGTAAGGAATGAGTAGAACATCTAGCACATAGAAGGGGAACAGAGAAATGCATGCAGAATTTGGGTTGGCAAACTTGAAAGGAAGAGACCAGTTGACAACTAGGTGTACATGTTGTAAATATAGTAAAATTCAATGTACATACATTTCTTTGTTGTCACCTGCTTGATGTATATAGAGGCTTCAGCCCTACATCATCTAAGAGAATCTTGCCTTTGAGTGGTACTAGCCAAAGTACCTGAAAATCCATTCCAACATTGCATTTCTTGCACTTTGTGAGGATGCTTCTTCTCCCATGTGCAGAACAGACATGACAGTTCATTCTCTTGGCTGAAGTGGTAGGCCAGTGATGTAAACTGGCTTCCTCTAATCAAGATATTGTAGTTGACAGAGCAGGGAGTCAACTTATGGGGCACTGTGGACGAGGAGGGCCCCTTGGAGCATGTTTCACACAAGGGCAGGAAGAAAGTCTCGATGTGACAGTTTCACACAACAGGATAAAACTGTTTAGAATCATCAGGTTCAGTAAATGTAATATAGAATCTGTATCCACTTCCAGGTCCGACAACTGATGGAACAGGTGTTTGTCATTCTGTCCACTTTGTCAGTATATCCTGTGTTCTTGTTACAGCTCATTGCAGTTGCTGGTTTTATGGCATTTCCATGTTCATCACAAAAATTTCATCCTGCTGGTGGACTGTGCATGTTCGCCATGACATTTGCTGATATGAAGTGCATGCACATCATTGCCGTTCTCAGTACATATGAATTTCAGAATTTCAGTTTCATCAGAATGTTTAGAAGAAGATAAAACTGAAAAGCAACTTATGTGGGATTCAAATTCTGATTGCTTTACTGAAGATGAAGCGAACAGTGCACATGACAGATGCTACAAAGACAAAAGAGTGCAAGAAACCTCATCAGCCACTACCAATACAGCCACCACCATGGGGTTATGAATATTTTTTCAATGGAGCAGTGGGGATAAATCTCAACAAAGCTCCACAAGTGAATAAGGATTACACAAGACTCTTTGTTCTCATATTGCATTTCACAGGTATCATCCATCTGCTGGTGGGACTAACAGATATTATCACCAGTACCTGAACACACTTGAAGACGGATCATCCCCCCTCCCCGACATGACCAACTCAGAGATGTTTCTGTTTCTAGGGATCATTATTCAAATGGGACATGACATTAGAGATAGAGAATAAGGGACTGTTGGGTGACTGCTGAATAATTTTTGACCTTTCTAGAGTAACACAATGAAGTGCGACAGATTTCTTTTTCTTTGCCTCCTTCGCTTTACGGACAACATTTAACCTCTTTGGTCCAGCATTGCTGGGCGCCACTTCTCTTTAACCGCTCTTTGCTGCCCACTGCTGGGAGCTACTTTTCTCTATAACCGTCCCTCACTCACCTTCTTTACCCCATTAGCTTGCCGCATGTTAATTGTCACTCCTTTCCTTTGTTCTTCTTTGGTTGGGTGCCAGTAAGCTCAACTGGTGTTGGCTTACAGTAATTATGGGTTTAATTAGGAAAGTAAGGTAAAGGTGATAGGAAACTAGTTCAGCTATCAATAAAGTTGAGATTCTTCCTCAGAGCATTTGATAAGGCCTCGCTTAGGCAGAGAAGGAATTAACACGATGCTACCTTTGCACTTAAAACACGGTGATCATTTATCAACACTTTTATTCACTCAATAACACACACAGTTAATATAGTGGATACTGGTATATAAGTCCTTAAATAGTTTTAGTCCTGGTACACTAGAAGTTATCAGAATGGTTTACACTTTGGCTTGTGGAATTTAGGCTTTGTCCGGAACAGCGGTGATACAAATTTTTCATCTAAACAGTTCATGAGTTGGCAGACAACTGAACTCAGCGACTTACTTCTCTGAAAACCCTGAGGTCCCTGGTCGTCAATTCCTCAGCTAAGTCAGTCCCTTTTAATTCCACTGATGGGTAATTTTGAAATCTAGGAGTTAACACAATTTTTGGATCTCCAGTCAGCTAGCTGTAGTGTGGGATTTTGATCCTTAAAGTCCTAACGTGGTTTTTGACAGCTCACTGACAGATAACCTGCTTGGCGTGGGTCTCCAGCATGCCCCCTTTTAAATTACGAGGTACTGGACCTGTCAGAGATCGTGTTCTCAAAGTTTGCTGCTGTGTTACTCTTAGAGAAAATTTCTAAGAAAAAGCCACAGGAGTACTTCCTGTGTAACAGTAAGACTGGGAATAAGTGAATTCCTGCAAACAAGAAGGTGACTATTACCTGCTATCTGCAATTCTTGTACTAAAGATTCTAATTATACCTAAAATTAGTGAGCGACAGTGGAGCAGTTACAAACAATATAGAAATTGACAGGCAAGCCAACAATTATGACCAACTATGGAAAATGAGGACTATTTTTGACACTCTAAATGATGCATACAAAAATTATTATAATCCTTCAGAGCATTTGGCTGTTGATGAAATAATTGTAAAATTCAAAGGCAGGGTAGTTTTTGGACAGTACATCCCAAAGGAACCCGAAAGTTGCAGAATCAAGATATTCAGGATCTGTGACACAGCTGGATATACTTACAGCTTGAAAGTATATGTAGGGAAAGACTAGATATATGCCGACCAAAATGTAACAGTCGCACATTCCACAGTTAGGGACCTCTGCAGAAGGATCGAGGGGGTTGGAGATAAACTTTACATGGACAATTTCTTTTTATCACCAGATTTATTTGACGAACCTACAACAAGGTTGCTGTGTACCAGTCAGATGAAGTCATAAGGGCTTACCGCAAGACTTATGCAACAGGAGACTTGAACTGAAGGAAGGAGACATTTGGGTTAGTGTGAGGGGTGACAAGAAAGATGTACATATGCTGATAAACGTGCAATTTCTGTGATCAATATGGAAGTTCCATAAAACCAGCAATTGTAGCAGACTACAACAAGTACATGGGATATGTTGACAATGTGGACAGAATGACAAACAACTATTGCATCAGTTGTTGGACCTGGAAATGGACAAAGATACTGTTCTTCCATTTACTGATCCTGATGATTCTACACAGTTTTATCCTGTTGTGTGAAACTGTCGCATCGAGACTTTCTTCCTGCCCTTGTGTGAAACATGCTGCAAGAGGCCCTCCGCAGTGTGCCATAAGTTGACCCCCTCCTCTGTCAACTACAATATCTTGACTAGAGGAGGCCAGTCGACATCACTGGCCAACCCCTTCAGCCAAGAGAATGAACTGTTGTGTCTGTTCTGCATGTGGGAAGAGAGGAGCATCCTCACAAAGTGCAAGAAATGCACTGTTGGATTGTGGATCCTCAGGTGCTTCAAGGAGTACCACACAAAGGCGAGATTCATTCGGATGAAGCAGGGTGAATCCTGTATAAATACATCAATCAGACAAAACCAGAGAAAGTGCTGTATCAGTACTCTACTTGGATTCAAATACAATGGCAAGTGAGTAATGGTGTGTAATGCTTGGAGATACAAGTTTAAAACATTGGGTGTTGTGCTCAAACAGGAATATGTACTTTAATTTTAATTTCATGCGTCCTGTTGTGTTATTATATACAATTCTTTATGGGAGTCTGTTGTAACACAACATAAAGATCAAGGTTAACATTACCTTACACATATCGGTGTTGCTTTATTGTAACTTGACAACACCACACACAGGACCGTTATTCCTCACCTCCCACTTATGCCTTAAAGACTAAATGCCCTCGGATCCTTGGTCTTTCATTTTTAAAAATACAGTAAGATATACAAAAAAGATTGTGTCTTGAAGTTGGTTGTTTTAAGCTATGAAAGCTGTGCATGAGTGAATGGTATGGGTATCAAAGACTGATGTGTTTTAAGCTATGAAAGCTGTGCGTGAGTGAATGGTATGGGTATCAAAGACTGATGCTGATGAGTGTATCTTTCACCATGTAACAGTTCTTGCTACTACACAGTTGACAGATACTAATCCATTGTATCTGAATTTCAGAATACATAGGGTGTACTTGTACGGAATTTCTCACTGTGTAATATCATCCATTCCCCCACTTACTTTATCTCTTTTGGGTCTATTGTAGTTTACTTAGCATGTTCTTTTCAACGCTGGAAATTCATTTTTCTCTCAGAGTAAGAGATCACATTTTACAACCATGTTTGTATGTTAGGGGTGGGCCATAAAAACCGGCCCCCGCATTGCAACCTTCAAAGATTATTGTGCTTCCTCTTGGATTAACCCTTTATTAATCCTACACTTTTAATAAAATGTAGGATCCTTTTTACAACCATACAAACCGGTAGTGAAAATTATATAAGATAGCATTCAGGCATTATAGTGATACACATACCACTGTTTTTCCAACTATATTGTACAGGTAGTCAGCTTACCTGTATATCAGTATGTTCTTAAAATGAAGCAAAGATGTGAATGGACTTTTAATTAACTTGTCATTAAGTCAGCAACAAGTTTATAGTTCATGATTAATCTAACAGGAGAAAATTTGAATATTGGTTTGAAATAGATGATATCGAATAGGGTGCAAAAGATAATATTTAGGTGTACGAGAGATGATATAAAGAAAGAATGAATATTACCCAAAGAGGAGCTTATACTTTTCACAGCACAGCACATTGAGATGATTAAATTAAGAAAATCAGCAGTTGTAAAAAGAAATTATAAATGCATACAAAACTTGGTAAGAAAACCATGATGAAAGAGGCTACTTGGGAGAGTTAATTGTAAATGGGAGTACACATAAAAAGTGGATCTTAAGGAATGAAATTTTGAAGATGTGAATTGGATTTAGCTAATACAGTTCATAGTAAACTTTTGTGATTATTCTTGGTGAACCTTTTATAGGGAATTTCTTGATTGATTTATTTATTCTTAGGTGTTATTTAATAACACTGTGTCAACTGCATAGGATATAATTCTGTCAGATAATATGGAAAAGTAATCATGAATGATGAGAAGATATGATCTGGAAGGAGGCATCATGGTTTATTTGAAGGTCATGTTCTGGCGTTTGCCTGGAGAGACTGACGCAGAGTATGAGAACTTACGTCAGAGTTACTGGTAAACACTGTGACTCTAAACACTAAATCAGTGTGATACTATTATAATGTCCAGAAAAGAATGGGAAAGTATAGATCTTGTTCCTATTCATTTGTTACAGGTGTTGACTTGATGTCTGGCTATAGGGCAGTCTGATTTTGGATTTATAAATATAAATAAATTGTACATACACTATTGTGAAAGAAATGCTGTACAGAAATAGTGATAATTAAATAACTATTTTCATATTCACAGAAGACTTTTCTAGGCTGCATCCCCTTGGCATGTACTAACATTGAAAATTACTGAAGATATTTGTCCACATATGCAGCTGAATTTAGATGCTTTATAAACTTCCATAGAATATACAGGGGTAGGACATAACAGGGAAACACTGCAGATATGCGACAGTGTAGTTGGTATAGTGACTGGCTATGGGCTGGATGGGCGTGGAGTGGGAATTCAAATCCCGGTAGTGGCCAGATTTTTATCTTCTCCAAATCATCCAGACCAGCTCTGGGGGCTCTTTCCCCAGGGGTAAAGCTGCCAGGGCTTGAAGCTGACCACTCACCTCCAGCTAGTGCTGAGGTCAAGAAAATGTGAATCTATACATCCACTCCCCCATACACCTTCATGGTGTAGTCCTTAAGCACAGGGACAATCTTACCTTTTTACAGATACTGTACACATTTCTTTATTATTATGGTGCTGGACCAACTTTTGACCTCAGTACAGCTGCAGTCCTTGGAATGGACTCGTACAAGTTTTGAACAGTCTCTAGTGGAATTTTATACCATTCTTCTTGAAGAACATCTTCAGGTTGCTTTAGAGGTGTTGGAGGTGGGAATTTGTTCCTCACTTGAGTCTCCAAAACTGACAAGTATAGTTCAATAATGTTCAGATATGGTGATTATGTTGGCCAGGGAAGTTGCTGAAGTTCACCTTCATGCTCTTCCAAACATGACTGAACAGTTCCAGCCATGTGAATGGGGGTATTGTCGTCTTGGAAAACTACATTGTTTTTTTGGAAATAACATCTGGATCATGGGATGCACCTGATCACCTGACCTGTCCACATACTCTTGTTGCAGTAATTTGGCCATGAAGGGTTTTTACCGTTCTTCCTTTCTCTTGCTGTTGTCGCCGCTGCCATCGCTGGTCGTTGGGCTCGCAGCTAGGTCGGGCTTTACCTGGCTCACCACTTCTCCAACTCCACCACTTCTCTTCACTATGGAAAAGGGGTACCAGGTCCAGGACTTGACCTGGCTTGTCTATGGGCGCCAGCAACTGTGGATACAGATGCGAAGTGAAGGGAAAAGGTAGACGGGATGAGGCACTGATGGTGATTGGGCTAGTCGTGGGTGGAGTGAGACTCTGGCTCAGGTCGTTCTCGGGCCTTACTCCGACGAGGAGAAAAGAACACACTGGAAACACAAGCACTTGGTACCACTTCCTTTATTGTTTTTGTAATCTGGAAGTCACTGAGATACAACTCAGATCGTTACTTTGCTACTCTCGATAAGGGAGAGCTTGGATTCTACAAAATGAGCGGGCTGTTGTTACTTGGTTACACACTCCTGCAAGCCTTGTCACAATGCACCGTTAGCACTATTACGTAGCACTTGGGGACTTGTATAGGTTACCAGTTCGCACTCACTCGCGTTTATTTTTCAATATTAATTTTCCTGATTTAACTTTCGAATACTCAGACATTATTTCACTTAACAGTCAATTGAGAGGGCTAGCTTCGCATCCGGTGAGTTTAACTGTTGTGGTGAGACTTACGAAAAAAAAACTCTCTATTTTTGAAGATTCAGAGGTCCTGTGAAATTTTGGGAATGCCTCGTTGCCATCCTCCAAATCCCCGGGTTGGCTGGATTTAGACAACATGGGGGGGGGCTTCGATCGAGTTTATCATTCCTCCAATGGTCAGCTGTTTTGCGGCAAAAGTTGGGTTTTTGCGCTTTCACGATCTTTCTGACACGGGGTGGATCGAGGGGGTTCAATCTTACAGTCTTCTAGGGGTAGGTCTGTGATGAATTTGAGGCCTAAATTGTCACATTCATTACACTCCAGAGAAAAAGGTTATTGTATGATATTTATACCTTGAATGAAGGGGAATTTGCTAAAGAATATTCAGAAGGTCTTAAATTTCTTTCTCTATTACAAGACAGCAGGTAATATTTGGATTCCTAAAACATTTGACTTCGTGACTAATCGGGTGTTGAAAAGTGCTCCCTTTCCTCGATTATTGAAACAGTTCGCGGCTCCTTTATAGAAGAAATTTTTAACAGTTTGAGAGTTATGACTGGTCAGAGGGCCATCTCTCTAAGTGACAAAAGGTTCTCTCCAGCGTCTTTTTGGACAGATTTCTCTTTTATTAGAGCATAGGACTCTTTGTAAAAGTAAGAAGAGCGTCAGGCTGGTTTGGTTTAAGTGTTTAAGTGGTTTGGTTTAAGATTGCGACCCATCATAAACTTTACCTTCTCGGAATTGCGTAAGCAAACTTTCAAGCTGTTGCTTCTTTAGAAATTTCTAGCTCGTCCCAAAATACCTTCCTCTTTTTGTGTCAACTGGGCTTCTCTCTTTCTATTTTCAAATTACATAGCACGCTCGGATAGGAGGGAGGCCTGACTTCCCTTCATGCCAATTGGGTTCAGATCCCTCTGGTGCTGATGGTGTATGATACCTTCCACAAATTTGGCAGAAGGTGGTACACATGGGGGGCGATTATATTGAAGGAATGTTAGTGTGTTTACCTCCGGTAATAAAGTAATTTCAGAACTACAGAGGTGTTGCCACTACTCTTTATCTGACCTTTGTATTTTTATAAGCTACAATAAAGATGTTTCTAATCTGCCATTAGTGTTTAATACAATGCAAAACAATGTCAAATATAATATATGATGGCAAGCTACAAATGACATTGTTATGGCAAAAAAAAAAAAAAAAAGGAAGTGCAAGGACGTATACAAGAAAATTTATTTACAGTCAATTCAGAATAACATTTAATATCTGTACAATAAGAGACTATCATAATATAAGCTTTTTAATAATCCACTACACAGTTCAACTGTGCAAGACTGATTCCTTACCATCTAATACCTTGATTTTATTCGTGACCCGCCAAGAATTTAGACAAGAAGTCTGTAGGTTTTGGTTCAACAGTTTCCTTGAAGTATGTCATTATATGACCCTTCTGCTTCCAAATTTCAACAGTTTCTTTAAGTTCCATCTGGCCCTGAACAACAAACAAAAATAAATTTAAAATTAAATAATGTGAATAAACATACTTCCACAAAAAGTACACTATCAGAAACTTGATCTGGTAATATTACATGATCTAGCCATGATGTCACTTCAATTTGGGGACCAGGTGGTCTAAGGAGAGAGTGTTAGACTTCTCATGAAAATGAAACTTCATGACTGTGAGGAACACAAGCGTTTCCATTATGGTTTGAAGCCCATATTAAGCTGCAGGTTCCCTCTGCGAGCCATAATCATCACCACCAATACCATTCTATCAGTAATGTAACAAGAGTTTGCATTTTAGGTCAACTGTTTAGTGGAAGTGTTAATCACATCAACATAATCATCCTTTATTTCAAGCTGAAATGTTATAAAGGCATACCTTGGAGATATTGCACGTTCAGTTTCAGATCACCTGAATAAAGCAGATATTGAAATAAAGATAGTCACATGAATTTTTCAGTTTTCCAACGCATATGAAAGTTATGTTTAAACTATACAGAAGTTTATTGAGTGTGCAATAGCATTATGCCTAAACAAATGTACATACCTTAATTAAAAAATACTTAACAGTGGCCAGAATATGAATCTGACCATTCACTTCCACCTAGTTCTGAAATCTAGAATGTGTGAAGCTTTACCACCATGCCCCCCTTTGTTCTTATGTACAAACTGGCAAGTAAGATAATAATTTGCATGCTTCCTATGCAGCAAGAAAAGCCACAATCTTAAGGATCTGAATAACAGTAAACATGAATAAAGCAAAGGTTTTTCATGTTGTGGCAAAGTATTTCAAGTGGCAGGTGGTCTAATGGTCCAGCCACCACGGTTCAAAATTTGGTCTCCTATAGGACAGTGAACAGAATATATAAACACATGTCATACACATACCTTAATAACAAGCATATCTATCACTCGTATATCTGTAACGTGACGGTTCTTTTCAAATTCTTCTCTGAGTTTGACTCGGCACTGTTCCACTGACTTTGGGATGTCATAGTCCATCACTAGAAAAGTTAAATATACTGAGGTCAGAAAATGATTCACATCTTTACATAATCGTACAGAATTATACTTGTTTACATATACAATTCTATGATAAATTCATAATAAACTTCTTAATGAGACAGAATAGGTGACATCTGAATGTCACAAAGCTATTTGCATCATTGAGAAGGAAGAACACATCAGGAACCTTTTATTTGGTGAAAAGGTACAGAACTGCCACTGAAAGGGTAGCAGAAAATAATAAAAGTCAATTCCAAAGAAGCACAGACATAAAGAATTGGATTCACTTTTGTATACTTATTTTTTCTAATATTCATGCCTTTAGCACAGTTACTACTGCTACTCTTTATTCTTCCTGTAGACCAATACATAAGTGATGTAGGGTACGTCACAGAAATAACAATCCCTTCTTCAGGAGCTAACAGTTCCTCAACTAGTCAAGAAAGTCATCATATTTATGGGACTTCTATGTTTATAAGCGCCCATCTCTTGCCCCTATTGTGAGCAATATGAATCCAGTCCATACACCTCCACCATATCTAAAATCCATTTTAATATATCCTCCCATCTATGCCTAGGTCTTCAAAGAGGTCACTTCAATTTCATATGCTTCATCTTCACTCGCATATGGACGGGCTACATGTTCTACCCATCTCATTCTCCTTCACTTGATTATCCTAATTTTTGTTTTTTAAATATTGTCTGGGAGAGAAAAAGATTCTGAACTGAATAGTAGTAAGCATGCTCTTAATTTATATATATATATATCTTAATGCAATTTTGAACTTTGCCAAATTTTCAGGACTGTTGGGTACTTTTAGGTTATGACTTTGTCCTTCAGCCTGCTGAAATTTATTTCTAGACCAACCCCCTTACTACGGTGTAATGGAGTTCTTTTTCTTTTTATTTGTAATATTTTTGTTCTAGTCCAATAAAGTATCAACATGAACCACGAGCTGATGTATTCTACTTAATTTAAATCCCTCCAGACTTTCTCGGACCTTTCTAACAGTGTTTTCCAAAACAATAGCCATAAATTATTGCCTTCTTTAAGACAATTCTGAATAAGAAATATATCAAACAAATGTTTATATTTAAGAATTTCTCTATAGGTTTTATTTAAACATCTTTAATTAGGCAATCACCCTACCCACCTCCTACTGGCAGCCCTTGGAAGGAGTAGGACTCTGGAGACAGCAGTCACTATCTCCCCAGCTAAAGTTGTTGGAAGGGAGTACTGTAATGGTGCCTAAATATCTTCAGGCCCCACTATGGGCCAGACAAAGATATACCCAGAGACCTCTCTAAAGAGGTCCCAGGATATTCTAGCCCTGCATTGGAGAGAAGAACTGTTGCATCCTCTGCTGCTGTCATAGGTCTTTGGATAGAGTCCAGTAACCTACTGACCTTGGGACAGGAAAAGATATAGTCTTGTAACAGACTTGATGGCTGACCACTGTATAATGAGGGTTTACATTAAAAGTTTGATAGAAGTTTATACATACAAGAATTTAATAATGACAGAATGTGATAATTAATGTCTGTCTTATCATCTTTGTTATAAATACTACTAGGACAAAGGATTCATTATTGAAAACAGAATTCAGTTCACGAAACCCAGATGGCTTCGCTCAATTCCGCCAGAATGTTATTAATACCTGCCAATTTATACATTTTCGAATATTCAATATGAATCTGTTTCAACCTAGCTTCAGTTCTGATGGCTCATGTGTGTACTCCAGTCTGTCAATCATGGTTAAATAGAACTGCGTTCAATAGTTGACAGAAGTAATTCTTCTACCTCTTCAAAATACTGTGGGAATATACGAGCAAATCAGTATAAATAACTGTTAACACTTCATGTGCTGGTTAGGATTATGTTTACTGAATTATTATTTTACCATACATACGATACCTACCAACGTATGGTATTTGTCTATACCATGCTTTATATAAATTAAAAACTCTCTTCCTCGCCTCGCTACGATCAACGGATAAAATTGGTCGTACTTGTTGTACCACTTTCCTAACAGATTCCTGCGTCGCCATGATATTGCTGACTTAGCAGACGAAAAGTGCCGTCAGGAATACCATACAACAACAACAACGAAATTCCCTTTAAGAGATAACGGAAGTATAAACAAAAAGGTAAAGTTGTCCATGTACTTAAATACTTAAGCCCTGCAACATGATGGCGTATGGGGGAGTGGATGCATAGATCCACATTTTCTTGTCCTCAGCAGTAGTTGCACGTGAGTGGTCAACTTCACGTCCCAGTCGCTTTACCCCCGAGGAATGAACCGCCGGTACCCATTGGATAGGGGGGTGGGTGGACCCCAGAGCGGGTCTAAACGACGTGGAGAAAATTCTTGACCCTACCGGGACTCGAACTCCGACCCTTGTCGCCAACACATGATCCATAATTATTGTCGCTCTCTGCTTTGCCCAACATTAGCGCTGAGTTGCATATCTACAAAAAATATCTGGAAAGTATAGATACAAAGTGCAGAAAATGTTTGTAAAGCAATTTTTTATTCACTTGTAGCACGTTTACAACACCCCGTTATTTACTTTTCAACATAGTCACCATGGATCGCAATGCACTTTGTGAACCGGGAACGAGTTGTTTTATTCCGACTACGTAGAAAACTCCAGCCTGTTCTCATAGGTCGTGACGGTTGTATTCGGTTGTAATTATGGTAATTATGTATGTTGTAGTTGGTAGCGTTGGTAGTAGTGTTTGAGCGTGTTTGACAGTGGTGTGTGGAGAAGTATGAAAATTAATACATCTAAAGGATTGTACAAATATTTATTGCGGGAATGCCAGAAACTTCCGGAAGATGCCCGCGAATTTTACAAGCACACAGTAAAACAGGTAAGATATACGTAACAAAAACGTGTTGTTAAAAAAGAAAATTAAATGGCTAAATTTTGTGAGACACTCGGTGATGGCTTTGGCACTTGTGGCGCACAGATGCTGAAGTAGGGATAGAGAGGTAGTGTGTAAATCATTCCTTGGTATCTAGAAAGCAGGGTTTAGGACAAGTCAGAGAACGATATATCACATTTAGACATTGCCTAGAAACACAGTACAAGTACAAAACGTTTCGCAGGAACAAAATATAGTGGTCTAAGTCGCATACGAAATAATGCCACGAACGTACCGATAAAATAGATAAAGGAAAGGAAGATTGATTCCACTCCAGGATTTATCTTTTGTTCTCGTCCATTGTGGAGTTGTACAGTTATGTTTTGAAATTAACAAGCTGTCTCCGATTTTTAAACTCGTTCAGTCTCTCTGAATGCCAAACCTAACTCCTTTAGACAAAATAATTTCTTCTTGCATCTTAATTTTACCTGCTTGCATGATTATATTTAGTAGGACTTATTTCATCTGTATCATCAGTAGTAGTACTAGATTATTCCTAGATTATTCTAGTCCTTTATTGTTACTACTCCTTATTTTTACTTCATGTTCCAGTTTCACTATCAAGGCATTCATAACCTCTCTCACACCTGGACAGACTGCCATGTGCCTAAATTCACATAGCTCTTCAAAATCGAGCTCCACATCTAAAATATCATCTCTATAATCTCCCTTATTTCCATGCATGATATTTGTAATGGCCGTCTTGTAGTGCACTCAATTTCATATATCACTTCTTACTACATGTTTCGGCAATATAGTGCCTTCTTCAGGTTCGTTATTTACGCTAAGCTATTACATTGTTTGCCGTCTTGTGTCTTTCATAAAATTATTTAGAAAGTACATTATTTGTCAACTATAATAAAATCTGTATATACTAAAACTTGTTAAGATTATTCATCTATATGTCTTAATTCAAACTCGCGTATAGTATGGTTCTTCCATTATGGGAATCATTTCTGTGTGTACCTGCAATTTGAAAATGGTACTTATTATTATTACTTTCAGCTTCTATCTGTTATGTGTTGTGTTATAATTATTTCCATTATTCAACTTCCCGGTAACTCCACCATCTCTCTTTTGCACACAACTTATTTCTACATTCAATATAATATCACCATCAGACAACATCCACATCACTGCCGCCATTCCTAATCCAGATGTAATTAGTTCCATAGGGCTGAGTCATTGAGAAGCTTATAACTGCCCAATTATTCAAGAAACTCCCAGCATTATATGGATCCAGGAGGTGTATTGCCATGTTCAAAAGTGCCTGCGAGTGCTGCCTATCCTTAGCCAGATGATTCCAGTCCACAGCCTTCCATCCTATTTCCTTAAATTCCTTTTTAATAGTATCCTTGAAAGTTGTAGCTTAAAAATGCAGGAAAGCAGATTTTGTGTGTCCGGAACATATGGTTATATATGTTCCAAAATTTGGAAGTTCAGTTTAATTGGTTTGGTTTTATTACCTCAAGTTCATGTTTTAATATGTGAATTTTTCCACTACATTTGTGGAGTGAGAAAACCATGAATGCACTTGCCAGTGTGTTCTGAAGGTATTCTGTATGATTGTCTTTCTGAATTATGTTGGAAATATTTACAGAGCTTTAAGCAGCATGTCTTGGAATCAGATCCTGTACGAATAAAACAGATTATAGAGAGAGCACTGGAAGATGCATCGTGGGTTGTGAAAAAGGTATGTATGTAGTTCACATAGTATTGGTTCTGTTGTGTTAAGTACATGAAAATGCCTGATACCTGGAAGGCTGTCTTCTTGCATCCCCCCCTCCCCCCTTTGGGCCACATAGAATGGAATCTGAGGTTGGATTTTCAGCAGCAAGGCCTGTTTATGTTCTCAGATTCTGTGTTGAAATTATTTCTGGGAATGATACATTCTTTAATTTCTTTCTTGCAGAATTTTTGAATTAAAAGTTCAAAAGGTACGGCCCTTTGAATTTTATCAGGTACTGATGTTTGTTCGGGAAGACTTTTGCAGTTTATTCTGTCACTTTTTTTGGAGCCATAACAGAAATGTAGCCTAGCACTTCACAGTTTTTATTTCTGAACATCAAGTGGAGTAGAATTCCTAGGTCAAAGTTATTTACAATTTCTTTATTAAAACCGTCACAACACAACTATATCAAGGTCACTGCCTAGTTTGGCTCTGCTACATGTTTTGGCTATTAAAAGCCATCATCAGGCAAATAGATGGCAAACATAGTATATACACCACTGAACTGCTGTACTAATAAAACAGGATACAATAATAGTAATTGTATTAAAATACTTGGCGTACTTACTCACTCACTCACTCACTCACTCATGGAGCTGAGCCTTTCTGGAGGAGACACCAATTCTGCAGCTACTCAAGAATTTCCCAGCATTTTATGGAACCCGAAGGCCCATTACCATGTTCAAAAGAGCCCTCCACTGGTCCCTATCTTGAGCCAGACCAATCCAATCCTATCTCTCTAAGATCCATTATAATATTTTCCACCACCTACTCCATGGTTTTCCCAGTGGTGTCTTTCCTTCTGGCTTTCCCACCAATATTCTATATGCATTCCTCTTCTCCCCCATTCATGCTACATGCCCAGCCCATCTTATCCTCCTTGACTTGATCATTCTAATTATACTTGGAGAAGAGTACAAGTTATGAAGCTCCTCATTATGTAGTTTTCTCCAACCTCCTGTCACTCATCTCTCTTTGGTCCAAATATTCTTCTCAACAGCCTGTTCTCAAACACCCTTAGTCTGTGTTCCTCCCTTAGTGTCAAAGACGAAGTTTCACACCCATACAGAACCACAAGCAAAATTATAGTTTTGTATATTCTAATTTTTATGTTTTTGGACAGCAGACGAGAAGGCAAAAGGTTCTGGACTGAATGGTAGCAAGCATTACCCGAATTCAGTCTCCTCTTAATTTCCTCCTGAATCAGGTTTCGATCTGTTATCGTTATTCCCAAATATCTGAACTGTGCCACATTTTCAAAACATCTGTTTCCTGTCTTAATGTCATGATTTTGCCCTGCATTTTGGTGACGAGACAGTAACATATACTTAGTTTTCTCTGTGTTTACTTGTAGACCAACCTCTTTACTTGCGTCAAATAAAGTTTGTGTGTTTTTCTTTATGGTTTCTACATTATCACCCTAAAATACTTGGCATAAAAATACAATAAATTAGATTATATAAAACAAAAGTTATAGTATAAAAGAAGAATAAAATTCTTCGATTGATGCTTTACATCATCGAGTCAGTCATTGGTTTTTGTGATTTTGTTGTGTTCCCATGGACCAATTGGAGTATTCTGTATTTTGTGCATATATAATAAACTGTTATTGGAGGCTCATGATGTAGATATAGTACTATTAATGTTAATCTGAAAATGATATGAAAGTAATAGTATTAAATTTTGTTATAATCAACAGTTGATTTTGGTATTGAAGATATAGTGTATTATTTACTTACTATTTAGTCAGTTCCTCATCTTACAAAGTATTGTCCGTTCTGTAGGGAATGTAAACGACTGATTTGGTGATGTATGTTAAAAATTCAATGCAAGGGAGGGAGGGGGGAGGTAGAGGAAAGGTATATATAGAAGTGGTGGAAGGGGGTTATGACTGTATATTATGTTTCGTATGTATCATGATTACATCATATATAGGGTTAAACATTTTGGTAAAATTATCATTCAGTTGCAAATTTAGTTTGCTGATTTCGTAAATATGAAATCTTTCATATGTATCCAAGGTTCAGCCTTTCTTGCCGATATATAGAACTTCTAATGTTTTGTCTAACGTACTGTATTCATGTGTGGTGTCCAATATATGTTGAGCAAATTTGGAACTTTGTTATTTTTTATGTCTCGTATGTGTTCTCTGAGTCTGACCTTAAAGGTACGTCTGGTCTCTCCTATATATTTTAATGGACAGTCAGCACATAGTAGTTGGTAAACCCCACTAAGATTATACTTATCATTTCTGTCATCATTTATTTTTAACAGATGTTTTATATTGTTTTTTGTCTTATATGAGATACCAACATCAGTATTCTTTAAAGGTCTAGTAATAGATCTGATTTCATGGCCAAAATAGGTAAAGGTTGTCCATTTCTTTTTGTGTGTAGTATTTTTTTGTGGAGGGTTTTTGTGTTAGTTGTATGGTATTTAGTTGGTAGTTATTATTATTTATTATAGTTCTAACAATGTTTTGTTGTATGTTTTATTGTTATGTGAAAGGGGATGTTGATTCAATTGATTAATGAGAAAGTTTATAGCAGCTTTTTGTGTTCAAATGGGTTCAAAGCCGAAACATGTAGCAGAGCCAAACTAGGCACTGACCTTGATATAGTTGTGTTGTGATGGTTTTAGTAAATAAATTGTATATTATAACACAACAGGATGCGTGAAATGAAAAAAAAAAATCGAAGTTATTTTCCTATTTCTCATCGCTGGCAGGTACACCAGTGTAACAGTTTTCATTTAAAATATATTTGTAGCATGTAACACATAGATTATTGAAGGCATTGAACATAAATTATGTCTGTTAGGAACCTCTGAAAATTGTAGTGTTATTAGGATTATTGTCTGGGATGTGACACTGTATAGTGTGGTAGGTGGGTATCAGCATTTTGGAGGAACCTACTGCCTCCATATTCATGGACAGGCAAGCTCCATTGATTTATTGTACTTCTACCCTGAAGATAGATGCAATAGATTACTCCAGAATGTTGGTATCTATCTACCAAGCTACTTAATGTCACATGCCAGATGGCTGAATTAATGGTACTGCTGTAGGAACCATGAATTTACACACATCATTATGTTGTGATTTTCTTGGAGTATGATTCTACTTTTTATGTGGATTATACTAGGAATGTTGCTTATCTTCATATACATAAAGTATTATTTTTTTGTGAGAAACATGTTGTTTTATATTCACACCCTGCTCAGATCTTCTAGTGCTCTATTTAATCTTGTGTAATGTGTGGGCTGGACACTTCTGCCATCCTCAGTTACAGAATTCAGTTTATGGCAGTGTTCTCTTAAAGGCTGCCTAAAGCCTAAACTCTTGTGACTTTTTAAATTTCTGAGGACTACATGAAGCTTGCACCAGCATTTACTACTTTATCTCACACCCTGTTAGGCTCCATATTGACTATGTATTGAATCCTACATGTGCAAAAGTTCAGACATTTCTAAGCTTTGGAATAACTGATTTCTTGGACTTGTCCAAGATATTTTGAACTTTGCCATATTTTCAAAGCATCAGTTAGCTGTCTTTATGTTATCATTTTGCCCTGCATTCTGGTGATGAGACATCAGTGTATACTTAGTTTCCTCTTTGTTCACTTCTAGACCAACCTCCTTACTGGCATCATTTGTAGTTTCTGTGTTTTTCTTTATGGTATCTATGTTATCTCCTAATAGATTCACATCATCATCACAGACCAGAAGCTGATGTGTCCCAGTCAGTTTCAGTCCCACCTGGTTTTTGTGAACAGAATACAGCATCATAAAAAAAAAGAAAAATCCCCAGATTAATGTATAATATTTCTCTTTGTTACAGTATGCAAGGACTTCAACCAAGTAGCATGCAGTTTGGACATAGAAACCCTGTTGAGCTTAAAATTTTAACCTGTCAATAGATTTAATTTGCTTCATCACCCTTGCTAGACCATGTCTTCAAATGATCAAGGAAATAAGATTCATCATCGGACAGATGCCACTCTGGAACAGTTCTGGAAGGCAGTGGATATCTGGAACACCTCTGCCCATGTAGTAAATAGACGATTATGTGGGGTCATTTGCTTGTTTATTGGAAGGATTTTGAATTCAGATGTTGATCATGACGTTATTGTATCAAAGATCAGAGATGCAAGTATACCATCTGTCACTTCAATGGAAGATGATTATATTTTGAAGACTCTAGAAGCAGCTGGGATTAAGACACGAAAGGACAATAACATTTCTGAGATGGGAGTCTATATCTGTATCAAGAAACTATTACCAAGAAATAGTGACAAATTCCAGCCATGTCTTGAACTTGTTATCATAGGTTAGTAATATTAATTTGTAAGCACCAGGTTATTTAATTATGCAGTAAGTACTGAGACTGTGTAGTGTCAATGATAGGATGACTGATGATAGTGGAACACTTTGTGGAATGAGAATTTGCAGGGGAAACTAAAGTATATGGAGAAAACATACACCCACTGCCCATGTGTCCCACATGACCTGACTTGGGATTGAACCTGGGCCACCACAAAGTAAAACCAGCTACTGATAGCCTTCGCCAATTTGTCATAGAATTCATGAACTTTCATTTTTCTGATATTTTACAATTAAGACCTGGAATGATTTATGCTAGAATTTACAAACATGTATGTGGAGTGAAACATTTTCTCCAGTAATGTGTGTAGTCCATATAAAGGATTAATTGATGACATAATATAACTTTTTTTCATTTTACATAAGCTCTTCAAGTATATTCATTAATTAAATTTTCATGGAACACACACATGATATTTCTTTCCTGTTTTGTAGCATTTCATCCACAGATTACTGCAGCATTTACATGACTTTATGAAGACAGTGCTACAGACCATGAAATGTTTAGCAAGGACAGTGACTGGTTCTTGCCAAAGGGTATGAAATATGACATATTCTTGTTCACTGGGCCTACCCATTCACTTCAGATTTATGCCTGCTAATGTCTTGTGAAAATTTGTCTTTGGTGTCGTGATGTCATTCTTCATAAGTAAGAATGGAAAGATTGAAAACTGTAAGGATTTATTTTTGTTCACTGATCAGTGAGAATGCGTGAATTATGTGATAACACACTGTATTAAGATAGGGCCCAATGGTTTTATCTTGTAAATATAAAGATCTGTGGGATTTGTCGATATTCCAATAGACAACCACTTTGGAAAGTTTATGGGCCCTGAAAAGGGCCGTTTGTTCCACCGCGATAGATGGAGTTTTATGGCCGTTCGGCTGGTCTGTCTGGCCAGTGAAGTAGGGCTGCGTGCGCTGATAGAAATAGATGTTGGCTACGGTGTGTTGGCTAATGTTGCGGCAGCTGAGTTAGTTGTCCGGTCGCAGTGCGGCAGTTGCCGGATGTTGCCTGGTCGCAGTGCGGCAGTTGCTGGAAGTTGCCTGGTCGCAGTGCATGGTGGCTGGAAGACATCTGGTTGTGGAGCACGGTTGCTGGAGTGGCAGCAGTTGCGCCAGTTGCCCGGTGTGTTGGGCATGACCACTGGAGAGGCGAGGCAGCCGTCCCTGACATAGTTAAAAGCCGATTACTCCGAAGACCGATCGCTCTGGACTAGGTGTGATGGCTGACTGGCTGATGTGGTCGCTGACGATTGCTGGGTTGGAGCTCTGTTATACCATGCTTGATGGAGGAGCGAAATTTGCAGTTGCGATTGTGAGCGCTGATTGGCTAGCGCGTGTAATGATCTGAATGTGGGCTAGACAGCGAGTGCTGCATAAATATGGGAGCTGACAACAATATGCTATTGACTTAGGAATGAGTGTTGTCTGTTGATTGGCGAAACAGCGTGATAGTATGTGGGATGTTCCCACAGATCTTTATTTCATACTTGAATAGCAGGATAACTGAAAACTTGTTTTTCCCCCATGTTTATAGTCATTGGCCAGTAAGGTACAAGCTTTATTTGTTACATGCTGGAAATGATTATTCCAGGTGGAAGATGAAAGGTCAGTTTTCTTATTTTATTGACATATTTTTGTTTGATATGAATTTGATGTCATTGCAGATAAGTTGCAGAATGTGGCACTCTTCAGTGGACTGCAAGAAGATTATGAACAACCATGTCTCACACCTAACTTCACCTACAGTTTTTGTTACAATGAAGAGAAAAATCAAATTATTTTGGTCATAAATAATGAGAGTAGAGCTTGTATTACAAGTGTGGCCTGGATTAAAGACCAGTTGTTCCCCAAAATTATAAAATGGGCAGAGACAGCTGTCATAGAGGACAGAAGTAATAGGTTAGTAACCTCATCACTGAACTTGGTTAACATTGCCAAGTACAATAAATTGTACCAGCAGTTGAAGAAGAAATATGGACTTCAGATGGTACAGGTAAAGCATATGTTTGTAGATCTATGAAAGTTTGTTAAGTAATAGGATTTGCTTACATGTAAATATGAAATATGCTCGTGTTTGTGTGTGTGTATGTGTCAAAAATTTCTGATCTCATACTTTTAAAAATAAGCTGATTTTCTTATTAAGTCTGATTTCCATTTACATCTCAGAGAATGTGGTGTACATAAAACCCAAATTGCACCCATGTTTATATTCGTTGTGTATCAGGTTTCAAAACCCCATATTCTTTTTGTAAAGTATGGTTGGATAGACATTTTTAGTCTTTGTTTTTTTTCTAAGATGTTTTGGACTCAACTGTGAAATAGACTCCTGAACATAGAATCTTTTTGCCTCCTATCATGGTTTATAACAATAAGTTTCAGTGAAAATTTAAGTGTCATGTAAGAAATACAGTTTCATAATTTTAATGAAACCCTTTCATTTTTCTCTTTTCCTCCATTTTTATCTTCATTTTATGACATAGAAAATGTGATTATCTTGCACGTGTCTTAATCACACTTTACTGTAGTGATATTGGAAATTATGCAGTTTTAACAATTTGGTCTGGTAAAGACAAAAGCATTTGTTGAAATTACTCTCTTTTGGGTAGTGATGCTGTGTGGTTGGTACCAGCATTTCAGAGGAACTTGCTGCCTTAATTTCCCTGAAGATAGAGGCAATAGGTACATCCAAAATATTGGTACATATCTACCAAAGTACACAGTGTCATATCCCAGAAGATCTTAATCCCAATTCTTTCCATCAACACAGTTGATGTATAGATGTACTCTATGCTAAAGGTTTACAACATATTTCAGTCTCAGTCCCTACACTGGCCAATGTTTACATGTAGGGTAAAGAGCATATAAGTCAAAGGCACATGTATAGTACCTGATGATGGCTGAAGGCTGAAACATGTTATAAATCTTTAACATATAGTATATCTATATAGAGATTGTGTTGGCAGTACCAAATAATAAATATTGTCACTTGTGTTAGTGACTATGGATGCAGTTTGGATTGGTGAATAGATTTATTGACCACTTGCAGGTCGTAACTACAAATAATTATTACACTATTGCTGATTTGCACACTACAAATCACTCCATGTGAGGTCTTCTCAGTATACTTTCACTAGTCTTTATGTGGCAACAGCTCTCCACAATGGCTTTTCATCCGCAGTGTTATCACTAGATATATCCCGATAATGAATCTTAGTGATAGAGATTCCTCAGCTTCCATTGCCCACTGGTTAACACTCCACAGCTGAACCCTCAGCTCTCAGTGGCTTGTAGCATAGATTATCTTCAAGATAACTCCTCAGAATTTACCCCACAGAAAACACTGTCCCCTTTTTTCGAGAATGTGTGTTTATTGACCCATTACCTATCAGTTGATATGTGCGAACCACATAGAAAACTCTTCCTGTGATGTTGGTTCTGTTGTTGCATGTGCATATTTTGGGTGTTGCCTAGAAATGGGTCTAAATGTCATAATATTCATCACCTGACAACCTTGAACCAGAAGTATTTGTTCCTTTCATTTTTCTGTCTCTGATATTTAAGGGATTCAAATTGTTGAAGAAGAGAATTGTTGGGATATGAGTCCCAATGTGAGCTGTACAGTATTTTCAACTTTTCTGGTCAATCATTCATGGCCCATTACATAGTGTCAGATTCTAATTCTTTTTGGAAGGTCATTTGAAAGGTATGATGGATGCTCAGAGATGATGATGATGATGACGACGACGACATCAAGGCACACCTGGCCTGTTTCAGCTTAGCTATCTTTTCACCTCTTCCTAGCACATTCCATGTCCCTTTTCCCTGTTGGTTTATACTGCACAGTGCATTTTGCAATCTTTTCATAACCTTCCATTCTTTTTGCCTGTTGTAACCAGTTTTATTTTGAAAAAGTTAATTAGTTCCTTTCAGTGCGACTGATTATGATTTTCTTATTTCAGTTATTAACTCTATAATTAACTTTATCATAATATTAGTGTGATGGACCAGAATGAAACAAATCAAATTCAGTTTTATTTATTTGTATTTATGCAGTTAATTTATATATTCCCAATTCTTACTGCATGTCATAATAGATTATCACATAACAATTATGATTTTCTGTTATGGCTGATTCTCATGAACTTATGAGGCCTCTTAGTGTACATTCTACTGTAAAGTGAGTATTTCTGTATATTACTTCTGTTGTAGATGTGGCCTGAAAATACAGATCCATTGAAATTTGTGTATGAAGATGTAGCCATTGCAGCATACTTGTTACTGCTTTGGGAACACGAGAGACTACAGAGAAAAACACAAAATGCCTACCAGACATTTGTTGACCTTGGTTGTGGGAATGGCCTCCTGGTCCATATACTTACCAGTGAAGGTCATCAGGGTATTGGACTAGATGTGAGGAAGAGGAAAATATGGGATTTCTATCCTTCCAATACCAAACTACAGGTAGATCTTTCATAGTGTTATATTTTAGCATCCTATTGCATTTCATTAATTTCTTAGTACTATTAATGTAACTTAAGTAAATGTTTCAGTGGTTGCATTGTTAATGCTACACTGTCATATTTCATTCTTCACTAACCAACCACAGACACCACACCCAATTAACATGGGCCAGTGACTGCATTAACTGCACTGAGATGGACATATGACAAGGCACATTAACTGCTCAAGTCCAGAGAACATTTTTCATTCATTGTCAAGATCACACCCAACAAGCAGGAGATACTGACATCAGATACTCATATACGACAAGGGCACTGTAGTGTTTGTTGTCTGAAGAGGGATTATGTGCTTTAGTTCCGACTTTTATCTTAATTAATTTTTAGCTTTCAATTTTTAATTATACTGTGGCGTATTGGCTATATCCAGGAACTGTTGAGCCACAGAGGCCTCGGGGCATGCGCGCAACATGAGAGTTGCGGATTGTATCGGCGAATTGCTAGGTGACAACTCTGTGAAGGCGGATTGCACAACAGGAAGTGCAAGTGACATCACATACCCCACTCATCCCATAACTACGCAACACTTGGTAAACACCCCTTCCTGCTAGGCTGTGACATCACACAACAGGCGAGTCCATGCAGAGACTATTGCTAGGCAATTGGTAAACATGACGTTACGCAACAGTGGTAGCTATCACGTAACTGTTTTCTGTGTTGTCAGTGTGGAAGCTACATAACGAGGAGTATTCGTCAGAGAGAGAGAGAGAGTGTTAAGAGCAGTGTTCAGTATGAGTTGAAGTCCAGCGCTACAAGTTGAGTTGTATTGAGTGAATAGAAGTGACTAAAGCCAGAGAAGTAATTGTGATATTGCAGATGGCAGTAATTGTGAAATTGTGAATTGTGTAAGTGTATGAGCGAGCGTTCAATAAATTTGCTAAGATCCAAAACAGTGTGCAGTTATTTGTCGCGTTACAAACACCCAATATGTGACAATACTGTTGCTTCCCTGAGTACGAGGATTATATCGTAGAGTAAGTTACAACATATAAGATACCTGAGGGTAGCCATGTAAGGCCGAAACATCTAGTAATAATGAGAACAAGAGCATGAAATATGACAATGTAGCAACAACCATGCAGTCATCGATACATGTATAAAAGTTGCATTAATAAGACTGAAAATTAATAGCTGGCTTGAAGCTCATAACTTGATTTAATCCTGTAGTCTAGTTCTGCAGGCTGAGAGAACTGCCAGGCTCTTTTGTGAAAACTGAATGGCAGTTAAGAGAGAACTCTTATGGCTAAGATAAGCAGAATCAAATATTTTTCACCTTAGAATTAAGTTTATTCAGCATTCACATTTTCGTATTGTATGGAACTGTTCTGTTCTATGACTTGTAAAACATCATATATGCATTTCTCTTGTTGAGTTTGGGGCAGGTTCCGACACAGTTTTCTGCAGCCAGATGTGTTACACCCTCAAAAATGCCTGGAGAATGCTACTCTAATAATGTAAACAATTATGATTTCATTTTGTAGGTTCAACCAATTGTTCCATCTGCTGAATGTCTGTTTCCTGAAGCAGATTGGTTAATCGGTAACCATTCTGATGAGTTGACGCCATGGATTCCCATATTTGCAGCACGAAGCTCCTACCGCTGCAGATTCTTTCTTCTTCCATGCTGTTGCTATGAACTGAATGGACAGAAGTACCAGCGAGTCAACTCCTCGCATAGTCAATATATGGACTATCTGGACTACATATATAAACTATGCAAAATATGTGGATTTACAGCTAAAATTGATAAGCTTAGAATCCCATCAACCAAAAGAATATGTCTTGTGGGTTGTGAAAGAGATTATCCAGAAGAAGACACACAAAATGTGGATAGAGATATTAAAGTATTAATTGATTCTAAAACCAGCAGGCGAATGGAAGCAGTAAGTGGAGAACAGTCAGGCCGTGGCTTAGAAAAGAAAGGTTCTGATGACAAAAAATGGATGCAGGATGTCAGGATCCGTGAGAAAGAGGAGAAGGTCCGCAACTGTACGCATCTTCATTCGGGGCTTGTGGAGGAAATTGTAAAGTTAGTCGCAGAACAATTACTGAAGGTGCAACAAAACATATTGGTTAGTGATGCTGAAAGTAAAGAGCGGTTATGGAATGCAGGAGGAAAGCTGTCGTTGGAGAAAGTAGCATCTCTGATACCAAGAGAGAGACTGAAAAATTTGAAGAATGAATGTGGTGGATTGCAGACATTGTTGAAAAATAATGGCCATATTTTCCTTGTAGAGCATGGTTATGTTCAAGTGAGAGTGCCTTCAGCGGCAGTACTGATTCAAAACAAGAAACCTGTCTCATGGCAAAGACCACATTGCCAAGGAAATATTAGGAATGTTTCAAGGAAACAGAAACCATGTTGGTTCCAGTTTAATCATCCAGATGGCTGTCCACTCTCTGATGAGGGCTGCTCATATAAACATGCAAGGATGTAGGTATACTGTCTTCTTGAGTGTACAACTTGAAATGAGTCTTAGCCTCCTCTACTGTTTTCAAGATTTCTTCCCCAGTGCCTTCTGCTGCCAGTTGTTAACTTCTGGTGTTTTCATTTTTTTTTCCTGTACTGTGAAGCCACCTGAGTTTTGGTCTTAGTCTCTTCTTCCTTCCAGCTTACCAGAGGTTAATGTTTTTATGGTTTTACCACCATCCATTCTGGCTAGATGTCTGACACAGATATTCCTTGTTTATCTAAGCATGTGACAATTCCCCTTCTCAGTCTTAAATGTCTGAAAAATATATATTTTTTTTTCAGTTTTAATGCCAGGTCAGATTTCATTTTCAGTTGTTGCTGTAATTCTGAATTAGCATATGTTTTAGTTAGTTACATAAATTTGTGCTTTGGAAAAGGAATGCATCCTATACTAAAAATAGTAAGCCTGACTTAGGAGCTTTCATCTATGTGCAATGTCAGTCACCATTCCTTTTTCATATTCCTTATCGCACACTACATGTTTTGGCCTAACTGGCCATATTCAGGTGTACAGTTTGTTATGGTTAAGGATTCTGCTGCTCTCTGTAATGTGGGTTACCATCAGTTTTATTTAGTTGTTGCTGGGTTGCACATGGTTACTTTTGGTTTTATTTAGTTTTTTGTTATGGCTGCCTTGAATGTTCTTGCTGGGGCAGGAAATCTGTTGTGTGTTGGTCAGCCATCATAGTTGTGTTATACTGTTGGTGATACATATTGTCATGTGTTGGGTATATGTCACGGGACAAGCAACTTCATGCCTTATTTGATCTAGCGAATTTATTTCACTTCGCTCTTACACTTATACAGTTTACAGTTTTACGACTACTGCCATCTGCAGTATCACACTTACTGCTGCCATTCACTAGATAACAGTGGACTTCAACCCACTCCGGCAAATGCTAGACTGCAATTAACTGGTTACTCTCTCTTAGTAACTGGCTCAATACTCACTCACTAATCACTCACTACTCACTAACTACTGAATAGTGTTCGCTGCTCCTTATTTAGCCTCGGCACGGACAACACAGAAAACAGTTACGTGATAGGTACGGCTGTTGCCTGATGCCGTGTTTACAGGTTGCCTAGCAACACTGTCAAGAGTTGTTTACTGCTCTGTAGCAACCATGGCATCCCTTGGTAATGTCACTGCGGGAGGGTGCGGGGTGTTGACTGGCCTCTTACCGTAGCAGCGGCAACTCTCCGAAGGTGTTATGTCACTGCTGGCAGGGGAGGGGGTGTCCTGTCTAGCGCAGATACGTCACGGTATATTTGTTAGAGTGAATCAGAGCTTTGTTTGCAATAGTAAGATAATTCTTTCAGATGTTAGATTGGAAAATATCTTATGTTGAGGTAAATATAGAAACATTGAAAATCACAACAATTTTTAAAGAAGCACAAGTAAAAGTCACATTCTAAACAAAAGCAATACAGAAACTAATAAAACAGACAAGTATGAAAAACGTGGTGTATACCAAATGAGATGCATGGATTGCCCACTAAAATATATAGGGCAAATGGGCTGAACATTCCAGACCAGATACAAAGAACACACACAGGCTGTAAGTATTCACAATGGCAACTCAGGATATCCAAATCACACATTAAATACAGGACATGCATATGGAAGCATAACTGACACAATGAAAGTTATAAAAACAAATAAAAAAGGAAAACATCTAAATACATTGGCATAATACCATATATGTATATAAAATAAGTAAAGAGGGACTGCACATGAATGACACATGTAACCCAATATTCGAGGTAATAAAAGAACTGAACACCACATAGTGACAGATAAAGATAATAAGAATAAGAACCAGTCCAACTTAGTAAGCAGTTGGAAACAAGACAAGGAACATAATATGATGGGGTATATAACACATCAAGGAGGAATGTAAGTACACAAACAAGTAAAGTTATACACAAAAAATTGTAAACATAATTTCTTATAGAAGAATTACACTTGTTACAGACACATGTGTGCTAGGGGAACCATATAGCTGCAACTAAACATCAACACAGAAAGACGGCAGTTTGCTCACCCACAACTTTTAACACCTGATGATGACCAATTTGGTTGAAACATGTTGTGAAAACTTTTAACGTGTCTAGCGTTTATTAAGTTTTAATAAATTGTTGCACATAAGATTGTAGAACCAATTATAAATACTAAGGCATATGTTGTTTATTTTTGCCTTTGAAATCATCCAGGTTCTCAGCTCATTACCCTACATTACATTGCATTGCATTCCATGGATCCAAAGTTAATCAAAATGACTGTAGGATGTGGAATATGTCATATAAATACAAAACATATATACAAATCCAATGGACTTCTCACACAAGAAACCAAAAAAATACACAGTGACTACACACAAGGCTGTTTAAGGATACATAAGTTATTTTCTAGACAATAGGTATTCATCAACAGAGTAGAATGAATGTGTATTTAAGTATAGTTTCAGTGCTATTTTAAATTGTGCCTCTTCATTCATAAGACCTTTGAGATCAGATGGCAGGTTATTGAAAATGTTGATCCCAGCATAATATGTGCTTTTCTGAAAGCACGAGAAGTTAGCAGTAGGTTTATGAAGACAGTGTTTGTGTCTTGTGTTGACACTGTGTACATCCACAATTGTCTGAAAATGTTCTTCGTTATTTGTAATGAAGTTTATTAATGAATATATATATTCACAAGGCAAAGTTAAGATCTGTAGTCTCTTAAGTAGATCTCTACAGGAATTACAGGATTTGACAACCATCATGACTAACAATTTTCTTTTGCAATGTAAATACCTTTTTACTGTCAGACGAATTACCCCAGAAAATTATTCCATACTTCATTAAAGAGTGAAAATAAGCAAAATAGATCGAGTTGCGAGTGTCAATGTTACTAATATGTAACATGAATCTAACTGCATAACATGCTCTACTTAACTTTGGAATCAACTGATCGATATGGTTTTCCAGTTTAAATGATTATCAATTTGCAAGCCAGGGAATTTTATGTTTACTCCCTCTTTCATATATTTATCATTATATCCTACCAGAGGCTTGCAGTGTAAATCACAAGGTGCATTTCTATATTAAAAAAAAAAGCCCATCTTTAAAAGCCTTGAAACTGGGTGGTATCTTCTGGTCCTTGGTGATGTATATCTGTAGCCAATTTAAAATATATATGTATACATAAAAATAAATAAAAGACCAAGGTCATCTGCATTAAACACTTGTTAAGGAAAGCATCATCCTGCTTTATAAAGTTGTAGGAACTCTTGTTCTATCCCACTATTTCAAGGATACTCAGGTTTGCTGAGTGGTATGCGAATTTGATGTGTGACAGAATTAAATTAACAGATGACAACAGAATGGTTGCATAGAACAGAATTTTATTGTGAAAATAATGGTCACTTGATGAAAAATGCTGGCATTCTAGATGTGGTAGCCCTGGCTCACCTGTAGTGCTTGTCTGCACCTTCTCTGTTGAACTCTCCGTGTGGTCTCACTGTCAGACCTTCACATTTGAATCGTTCCTCATTTGCCAGCCCTCGCCTAAAACATCAGGGTTCTCTCCTGCTTATGTGGGGGGAAAAGACCACATAGTAATTTATTTAGTCTGCACACTGCCTGGCTAAATGCTCCAAGCTGGTCCACAGCTTTGGAAGAATATTAAAATTCTTCCATTAACTACAGAATACACATGACCATCACACAATTACATCTTTTACCATAGCTAAGCTCTCATTTCTTGTATATATCTCAATAGTCACTACATTACCTGATTTGTTAGCATCTGTTATTGCCTTTATGCAATCTACCCTTCCTTTTCGGACAATTATACAGTTTGTATATTACATACAATCCAATCAGTAAGAAGAAAATGCAGAGTTCTTGTTTCTGTTTCTGTTCTTGTTCCATGACCATATGCTCTACTTTGGAAATCTTATGACTTGCAGTTTTCAGGTTATCCAAATGTGATACCATCTGTTTAAATTTTGTAGTCAAGTGTTTGGAACTAAGGTTGAATTTCATGCTTAACTTCTCACAGTACTCATATTCAAGATTCACTTCGGACATAAGTCTTTTGCTTGTATCAAACTGTTTACAGTGGTGACAGACTGTGTTTGCAGTAGAGTAGATTTGCTATAACCTCTGCAACTAGTATTGTAAATTTACCTATTCCAGGTAATGCCACATCGACTGGGGCCATCAGTACAAAGAATTGTAATTCTTTCACTTGGTGGATGAAATTTGTCCACAATGTTCATGCCCCAACAGAAGATAAAATTGATGATTTAAAGGACAGGTTCTACAAAGAACTAGAACATGTATTTGATAAATTTTTGTTAGGGGATTTCAGTGCCAAAGTAGGTAGGGAAAATATTTTCAAACCAACGATTGGGAATGAGAGTTTGCATGAAATTAGTAACAAAAAATCTTATGATCAAAAGTACAACATTCCCACATCCTAACATTCATAAATGTACTTGGACATCTGATTGGAAGAGACACAATGAAATTGACCATATTTTTATAGACAGGAGACAGCATTCAAGTACACTCAATTTCTGATCATTCAGGGCAGCAGATTGTGATACTGACCACTACCTGGTGGTGGCAAAGGTTAGGGAAAGACTGGCAATGAGTAAGCAATCAATGCACAGAGTTCATATGGAGAGGTTCAATCTCAAGAAATTAAATGAGGTAGAGGGTAAGGAACTATATCGTGTTGAAATCTGAAATAGGTTTGCAGATTTTGAAAACATAGACACTGAGGTGGATTGTAATAAAGCTTGGGAAACTATTAGAAAGATTATAAAATTTTCTGCAAAAGAGAGTCTAGTTTATTATGAGCTGAAGAAGCATAAGCCATGGTTCGATGAAGGATACTCAAAATTATTAGACCAAAGGAATTAAGCCAAATTGCAGTGGTTACAGAATCCAAGCAAAATAAATGGGGATAATCTGAACAATATATATTCATGCCATGATGACTCCCAAGAATCAAATCGTTTTCATGTAATATTTTGCCCTTCGTCACCTCAACTATTTCCTCTGAGACATTCACCTCACTCTTAAAAGTATCTATTTTAGACAGTGCATCAGAGTTTGAATTTTGGGATCCAGGTTCATGCATTACCTCATAGCCATATTCCTCGAGTTGGATTCTCCACCTCAACAGTCTCAAACCTGGGTCTTTGACACTCATGATCCAGCTTAGAGGTTTGTGATCACATAGCCTTGAACTTCCTACCATACAAATATGGCTTAAAATTATTAATTCTCTAGACAGTTGCTGCTAACTCCTCTGCTGTACTGTAGTTCTTGGCTTTATTGAAGCTACAACTTGCATACACAACTGGTCTCTCTTTACTTATCTGTCCTTGGGACAGGATCACCCCTGCTCCTTCATTTGACTCATAAGTTGTCAAAATAAAATCCTTTGAGGAATCAAGGTATTGCAAGATGAGTTGTGACATTAACTCGTGTTTTAATGTTTCAAATGCAAATTTCCTGTCCATCCTCCCATTTGTACTTAGCGTCCTTCAGGAATTTGTACAGTGGAGCTGCTATTTTCCTAAACTGTGGGACAAACCTATTGTAGCCTGCTAGCCCCAGGAAACCTTTCAGTTAACTGTCTTTGGAATAGGGAAATTTTCAGGCGATTCTGTCTTGTGGTCGGGTCAAACCCCATCCTCTTGAGATTATGTTCCCAAGGTAACTGACCTCCTTTCTTAAAATTTACATTTGTCTGGCAGGCATTTCAGATTGTACTTGCTCAGCCTCCTGAATACTGTATGTAATTTTACATCATGTTCTGTCCAGCTATTTGCATATGTCATAATGTACAAGAAGTCAAAATAGCATATGCCTGTGAGGCCACTTAAGACCATGTTCATGAGTCTCATTTAAGCACAATACGTCGTTTTAGGTTGCAATGCAAGGGCCGGATTATTGTGACCGACCCCTTATGCATTATGGCTCTTTTAACACAGCAGGTGCAGTCTGAAGGCCAAAAGGCATTTTCCAATATGCCCATTGCCCTTGCTTCATAGTGGTCTCTTTCCTTTTGGCTTTCCCACCAAAATGCTATGTGCATTCCTCCTCTTCCCCTATGCATACTATATGTCCTGCTCATCACATTTTTCTTGACTTGATCATTGTAATTATATTTGGCGAAGAGTGCAACTTACGAAGCATCAGTCTTCATATATGTGTTTTGAGACTGCGGTCGTCTGGTTTGGTCTGGTTTGTAACATCATGTGGTATATGGTAGTACCATATATCATAGGCAGATGCCACTTTTCAGTTCAACGTTGGTAGTAAATAGAGACCAACATTTCGGAGGAACATAGCCTGACACTGTATAGTCCTGTTGGTAGTTGCCAACATTTCGGAAGAATCTTCGTTTTACGAGACCACAACCCGAATCAATTCTCCCGCTTGCAACAGCCATTTACGAGCCTACATTTTCCATGTATGCATGTCAAAGACTTGCTCAACAGTACCACGGATTACTAAATCTGTACGGTGCTAATCCGTGTATGTGTTCTTGCATATGTTTGTAGTTTTATGATATGTCCGACAGGTTACGGTAGAATTTGTTTGTATGTGACAGCAAAATAGTGATCCGTTGTACTTTATTTCGACTTCTCACATATCGACTTCGTTACAGTCAATGCAGTTTATTTTAACGTACAGGAGGTTATAATATTTTGCTATTGTCAAAGAAGGAGAATAATTTGTTATTGTGTTTCTGAGAACATTTCGTTTTATGGATGTAACTAGGTAAATCGTTCTTAGCATTTCATGGAATTTAGTATGGGCCGATAGTGATTTTTAAGCCTGAAAGACAAACTTGGGAAAGATACTTTGAAGGGGACCGCCATGAGTGTTCCTCAAGTTCAAGGTGGATTAAGTAAACTAAAAAAGAAACATTTTCGTGTGAAACACCAAAAAGTGAAACTGTTTCGTGCAAATGAACCTCTTCTGTCCGTTTTCATGTGGGGCGTCAATCATACGGTGAGTGGCAATTCAAAATGTTTAAATTACAGTTCTTGCTGGATATTGTTCTTAGAGGTTCGTAATTATACAGGTACCCTACTCCTCATTTCGAAAGGTTGGTTGGTTGGTTTCCAATGGCTGTATTTGGGATCACTTAACCCATTTTGTTTCTTGCTTCCCAATAGAGAGCACCCAAGTTCTTGCTTTGTTGCATCTTGAAGAAGTTTGCGCTTTTCTTTTGGGAAGCTTTGCCAGGTTTGTTGCCCATTTTATACTACCCAGGGGACACGTATGACTTGAAGAATGTCACGGACGCGAACAACTTTGTCCCCCCCCCCATTTTTAAATGTTGCCATTTACTTTAAGTTCATAGATAATTTATAGAAGTTTCGTTATTCTACTGGGAAGACTGTACCTAAGCAAGGATATAAATCAGATAGTGATTGCTCCTTGAGGTTAATTATATTCCTGGATGGAAAGGAAAGGTTTATCAAATTATTTATACATTATGAAAAACAATGCAAAGTTTAAGAGCTATAGAAATTGAAGGCCGAGTATTATAGATACATACCATTGCAGGCAATTTATGTTATGGTTACTTGAACTGTAGAGAGAACTAGTATGCAGAGAATAACAGCTTTAAAATAATGGTCCACGTTTGCTTTATAGTTTGTTACATTTGTTAATTAAAGTAGGGGCTGCATTTAGCAGTGTGCATTACTGATTCTGACTTAACACATTTCCATTTTCTTCTAGTTAATTAGGCTGATCATAATTCTAAAGTTTGTGGCCTTGAAACATGTGTCATGTTTGTATGCACTTCTTTGCCAAATGTGAAACCTTTTGTAGCTACATCATGCATTTTCTGTGCCATATTTCTTGTCCTTTAGCATCTTATTTGTTTTACTGCAGAACCATTCCACGAGAAATGACAAATGCCTCACAGGGGAGCATATCAAATTTCAGATGTGTTAGGCACAGCTGTACCCATATTTATTACAACTAATAATTATTTTAACCCTAACTAGTTCCAAGAAATAGCATTCATAATTGACTGATTTCATAATTTTAAAGCATTATAGAGATTATGTAACTAAGGTAATAAATGGGCTGGACACACCATTTTTTTTTTTGCAGTAAGTGTTCAGGATCCTCATCTGAATTGCAATTACTTTACAGGTGTATCAGGGCTTTCACTATTTCTGATATATGCTCTTGCAATAGGCATTTTTTATTGTTGGATGAAGGATTACGTTTTTTTAAATCTACAGAGATTTAAGAAACGAGGCAGCACTAATCTGTACCATTACTGTTAACCCTGTGATAATATATGATGCGTGCAATAATATTGAATAGGCCAGACTCTTTTAAGGCATGCTAAGTTTTACAGTCATCATCATCATCCTTTAACTCTCAATGGAACATGGGGCATTAACAAATTGTTGCCATCTCTCATGGTTCTTGCTGAGTTGTTTAATTTCTCCTTATGTCTTCCCAGCAGCCAAGGCTTCCTCTCATGTTGGTCTCTGCCAACTCCTCTTTGGCCTTCCCTTTTTTGTTTGCTCTTGTGGGTTCCACTCCATAACTGCCTCCTCGATTGCATTTTCCTTTTGAAGAGCATGGCTGATCCAGTTCCATTTATGTCTCGTTTTCTGTTCAGTTATTTTTATTTCATTTGTCTGTTTCCATAGTTCGTCATTTGTTATTATAACTGGCCATCTCACATTTACTATTCTGCAGAGGCATCAATTTACAGAACTTTGTAATTTTCTACTTATTTCCTGCGTGGCTCCCCATGTCTCACATCCATATAATAAAATTGATTTCACATTAGAATTGAAAATTCTTAATTTTCAGTGTCTTTATTAGAGTCCGTCACAACGCAACAGTATAAAGGTCAAGGCTAAAATTAGCTTGGCTACATATTTCAGCTATTAAAGCCATCATCAGGCAAACACATGATTACCATATTCACTCACTACTGAACTGCAATTGTGAATATGGTAATCATGTGTTTGCCTGCTGGTGGCTTTAATAGCCGAAACATGTAGCCAAGCTAATTTTAGCCTTGACCTTTATATTGTTGTATTGTGACGGACTCTAATAAAGAAATTGTATATAATAACACAACAGGATGCATGAAATGAAAATTCTTAGTTTTGTTCTTAATCCAATATCACTTGATTTCCAAACTTTCTGTAGTTGATTAAAAGCCCCATTTGCTTTAGATATTTTATTTCTTACATCTTCCATACTGCACCCGCCTCTGTAACTATGCTACCAAGATAAAAGAAAATATCAGCATTTCCTTTTTCTCTTCCATGTAGAGTAAAAGTTTTTTATTTATGTGCATTGCTTTTTTCTGCTTAATTAATCTTCATTCCAACCTTCCTAGCTCCTCTATTTAATTCAACCAACTTTTCTGTCTTATCTTTAAAATGTTGTGCTAAAAGACATATATCATCTGCAAAATCCAAGTCCTCCAGTTTATGTGTGAGATCCCATTGTATTCCTCTTTGTGTTCTGTGATTCTCCTCATTACTGAATCCATCATAACAAGGAAAATGGTTGGTGAGAGGATACGCACTTGTTTGACACCTGTACCTGTCTCAATAGGTCAACTAAGTTTCCCATTGTGTACCATTTGACAAGTACAATCTTTGTATGATTCTTGTATGGGACCCTTGCTCTAAATAATCCTGGGGTCCCCACCCCGGCTCCAGCAACCACCGCCCGGGCAGCAGATTCCACTCCCATGGCGACACCGCACCCACCCCCTGTTGGTACCATCGCCGCTACGGAGGCCGGTCGGAAAAGTGTACTTAGCCCTGTGCATACAGCCAGCAGGGGAAACCAACGCAGCAGACATCACCAGCGGCACATGTCTGCTCTACGAGTGGTCGCCTCTTCGTTATGGATAGACTTAGGAAACGGCAGTTCCTGGTCGACGCGGTCCCGACCTTTGTGCGGCTAACGGTACGATCATCCACACCTACGGATGGCTACCCCTCAACCTCAACCTGGGACTAAGCCGAGATTTCACGTGGCGGTTCGTTTTGGCCGACGTCACATATCCCCTGATCGGCGTGGACTTTCTCTCGCGTTTCGGCCTCCTGGCGGACTGCCGAAGCAACCGTCTGCTGGACGGGGTCACGTCATTGTCTGTTTCGGCCCAAGCCGGCAGCTCGCTGATCCCCAGCTTCAAGACCGTCACTGGCGGCACACCGGTCGACAGCCTCCTCGCCGAATTCCCGGACCCCACTCTCCCAGCCGGAGTCCAGCACAAAGTGCGCTACAACACCCTCAATGACATTCAGCCTATACGAGGCCCACCGGTCACATGTCACCTACGGTGACTCCACCGGACCGGCTCTCTATCGCCAAAGCCGAGATCGACGCCATGTTGCGGGACGGCACAGCTCGCCGTTCAGGGAGTTCTTTGTCTTCCGCTCTACACGTCATGCCCAAGAAGCACAACGGTTGGAGTCTATGCGGCAACTACGGAGCTCTAAAAGGCCGGACCATTCCCGACCGCTACCCTGTCCGTCATATCCATGACTATGCCCACCAGCTTTTCAGTTGTTTCTTCTCCAAGATCGACCTGTTGAGAGATTGCAATCAAATCGCTGTACATCCCGACGGTATACAGAAGAACGCCATTACCATTTCATTCGGCCTATTCGAGTTCCCCTTCCTGGCCTATGGCTTGCGAAACGCCACCCAGAAGTTCCACCGCTTCATGGACGACTTTCTACCGGGACTAGGCTTTGTTTCGCCCACTTGGACGACACCCTCGTCTTCTCCCGGTCACTCGAAGAGCACGAGCAACACCAATGGACTCCCTTTGACCAACTTCAGAGGTACGGGTTCCTCGTCAACCCGAGTTCATTTTCCTCGGTTACAAGGTGTTCGCCGAGGGTTCCCAACCTCTTGAAGAATGAGTGACACATCGCCATGACTGCCACCCTCCCAAGACCGCCAATCAGCTCCGTCAAATTCTGGGCATGCTGAACTTCTGTAGGTGATTTCTGCCCCACATGGCGGACACCCAAGCACCAATTCATGACATTCTCTCAGGCCCCAGAGTCAAGTGCTCCCAAAAACTCATTCAAGATAACGGGTAACATGTAGTGTTAGACGTACATGTTCGGTGCTAGCAAATTGTGGGCAGACCACATACACGCAGGAACGTAAGCAAAATCGATAACATGAAATTATCGTACCACTGAAATTGGTCTAGAGTTACTAGACCCGTCATAACCATTCGTAACTCGAATTTTATGGCAAGTGTTCATTTTTTCCTCTTTTTTTTTTCGGGAACTTAAATTTCTTGGGTGCAGTCAGCGTTTGTAGTTGTCAACTTCAGGACGAATGTGTGGAATCTCATGCACAGCAGGATCAGTCCGGTTGTACTGGAAGGTCGATCTTTGCTGGACATTGACACCTCCGTTGGTGTATGTAATGTGACTTGTCATTCCCGGTCATTAGAGCCTGGAAGATGTGTTATGATAGAAACTTTTTTTATATTCTGGAGATCGTAATTTTTAATTTGAACACTTCGGAACGTGTAGTGGCGATGATTCTTGCTCTCCAATAGGTGAAGCTGATAAGAAAAAAATCCTAGTGCTGTGAACCTTTCTTTAACATGATAAGGAGGTGACGTTGCTTGTGGTTGGGTGCTGATAGCTCTGATATTCTATATCGTCTGACTTTTCCTGCCCTTGCTGGGAAGCCAAAGCACACATGAGTCGGTATTGTGAAGACAGTTTTTTGGCTACTTCTTTCCGTGGCTTCTGATGCGTTAGTTTTATGATGTGATCAGCTTGTAGTTTTGTTACTCTTGACATGAGGCATTGTTAAAATTTGATAGGTACAGCGGCCTTTAGTAGCTCAAAATCTGTTCATATAAGCCTCTGAATTAATGACAATATGCGTATCACTTAAAGTCAGTGGACTAACCTTCAAGCCCTAGCTAGTGAGCTCTCTCAGGTCTTAGAATACATCAGCCCTTAAGTCAC